GAGGCATCTGCTTCTAGAATGTCCAGCCAGAGCAAAAGCCTGCCCTGATCAGCCTGCTTCCCAGTTTCATGAGCCCAAGGGTGCTGGGGTGACAGCCAGGGCCATCTGCTGCCATGTCTGTGACTTCTGGGCATTGCTGCTGCTCAGACTCTGCCCTTGATTCATCTGAGCCAGAGCCCCAGGCGCCTCTGCTCCCCATCAGCAAAAACAGATGCATTCTGAACAGAGCCACGGGGAAGCCTTTAACCTAGACCTATAACTTTTCCCTGTGCAAATTGCCACAGGCGAGAGGGAACTTGGTTCAAGCCCAGACCCTATTATCAACACTTAGGCCCCACCCTCCACCTTCAGTGGTCAACCAGCACTTCCTGGATTCAGGAGCTGTTGGCAGTATGAGGTGGCATAAGGTCAGGCCACAGGCCTAAAGTGCCCAACTGCTCGACACACATATGACCTGTGGCCACGGGTTGCCAATGAGGAGGTGCAGGCAGGAGACTGGGACAGCTCAGGCAAATGTTGCGACTGAAACTACAGTGCAGCAGCCACGAGGACGGGACCCAGGAGGGCAAGAGGGGCTCAGCCTGTGTGGTGTGTACTGGGGAGCCGGGCGCCCTACCGACGGGTGGCAGTGTGGCAGCAAGTGAACTAAAACAGGCCTGGGTCGCATCCACTGTCGTGAGCTTTGCTCACTGTCATGAGTTAGCCACAGGAGGCCAGCCTGTGTGGGCAGGTACTAGGTTGCGCACTTTTCAAACAGTTCTTCCGGTGGTGCCGGCAGGAGCATGCTCATTTTTTAGGGGAGGAGATGGAGGCTGAGCTGTTTTCAGGGCCTGTCCAGCTTCCTCTTTCTCTCCCCTTGACCCACCCCTAACTGCTCCTAGTCTCAGAATAGTCCTGGCTGGGGACAGGGAGTGGCACGGGAAGGTGGTGCAGACAAGGCTAAGCAGTCCCCCATGGGATACACAGGGAAACCCAGTTCTGTTCCCAGCAGGGGCTTCCTGCTCTATTTGCTGCTACTGTGCAGGACAGAGCAGAATTCCTTCTGACGGGCCTCTTCTTCCCTTAGTGAAATACTCCGTGCTGCACACGCAGTCTACAGAGCCGCCGCCGCCTGAACCAGCCCGGATCTGAGGGCCCCGTGCAGCTGTAGGCGTGCACATGGTGCCACCGCTTGTCACCCAGCTCCCCCCCACCCCCATCATTTGGACTCACAGCTGCTGTGCTGCTCTGTGTCATCGGCTCCTTGTTGGTCTGAGTTTTCTGGATGAGCTCTGGGTGTTCGTGAGTTTGGCTTCTCTGCTTGGCCACAGGTGCTCTGAGAATTGGTGCCGAAATTCAAGAGCCAACTCTGATAGAAAGCCAGCACCAGGCCTTGGGAGCTGCTGGGTTACCGACTCCCAAAGCCAGCCTGCCTCCAGCTTCACTGAGCACAGAATGTGGGGGCCAAGGTGATGCTGGGGCCTGTTGACATTTATACTTAAGGGACAAGAATTTGAACCCTACACACTGCAGTGGCTGATTGTGGCTGGTTTCTGCCAATAGGCAGTCCCTGGCGGTGACCTCAAGGAGCTGCAAGTAGGGGGCTCAGCGTGCACCTGCTTCCCTTGGAGCCCCTGCAAGGAGTGAATGAGTCAGCACCAAGTAACACCACACACGCGCAGCACCCAGGAGGATGGCTTCATTTCAGTCTTCCCAATCCCAGGTTTTGAGCCGGTCCAAGTGGAGGCTTTCAGTTATTTAAGTGCAAACATGTATTTCATGATAGTCTTGCCCTGAGTTTAGGAATCTTCTGGATTAAGTGTGAAGCTATGATTTGTAGGCCTGTTTCCCATCTGATTCCATAGGGGACTGACCTGACATGACAAAGGTCTTTAGGAATTATTTTCACATTGGAGATGAGTTTTACCCTCTGTTGGGGGGAGGAGCTCACCCTCTGCCCTGTATTTATTCCCATTTTGGTAGCAAGAGCTGCAGATGTCAAGAATGAGCATCAAAGCCGGAAGCATGCTTGTTGTTTGCTGAAAAATGTTATTGGGGGCAGGGAGGGAGGGGAGGAGAGGGGAAGAGACACTTGCTTGGTTTAGTGAAACACATGTGACTTTGTAGCTCCGTGTCAGCCTACTTGTCTGTTCTGAGGGAAGAGTGCATGGGGGCTGGTGCTCACCATGGCAAACACAGGAACCCCATGCCCAGCTCCTCACCTGGCACGGAGCAGCCAGGTTTGGGCTGGAGCAGAGCTGGCTTCCTGGAATGTTCCTTTGGCCCCACAGGTGGTTCTGTCCCATTGAACTCTGCTGTCATAGGCTCACAGGACAGAACCACATGCCAGGTCCCTGTATACTGATAACCAGTCTGCCATGTCAGAAAGCACTTCTGAAAGCAGAATATGAGTCACGGGCCAGGCAAGACCTTACAAAACTCACGAGCCTGTTTGGTCTGCATGATGGCCCCACACATTTCATAGGCTGCCCACTGAGTGGGAGGCGCCAACTCCAACTTCTGAGGGAAACCACTGGAATCTGCACCCCACATGCATCTGTTGAATTCCTGCCTCGTGTTGACGTTGAAAACATGCCTGCGGTGGAGGGTGGTCAGCTGTGGCACTGTCTCAAGGCTGCCTTGTGAGGCCATTCCCAACACGTGCCTGCGGGCTCAACACCCCTTTTCCTGCTCAGCCCTTTATCCCAACAGACCCGGACTGTGTGGCTGAAGGGGGCCTGTAGCAGTGCGGAAACACCTTAGCATGGTACCACGAAGGAAAGAAACCTTGGCCTGGTCTCGAAAAGCTCCCCAGGCTTCAGGAAGTTACGAAGGGCCTCCCACACTCATTGGCCAGATGGTGAATTTTGTCAGGCTTGTCCTCCCTGGCACCAAGTACATCAAGAGCTGATGGACCCACCCTCTGACCGATGCTGGGCTACAGGTGGCTGCAGAGGATTTTTGCATGCATGGCCTGTCACCATCTGGACAGTGTGACCTCAGGGGTTGTCTACCTTACCTTTATGGCTATGCCTATCGAATGGCAAAGTCCTCAAAACCCTATGGCTACGAAGTAGAAGACGTGCTGTCTGTCAAACCGTGTTTGCGGTACCACTGACTTCAGTTGCCAGAGACCCATTTTGCTCTCCCTTACCTACCCGGGTGCTATCTGCACAAAGCCTGGAGCCTGGCACTCAGGCCCACCAGTGGCAGCTGCTGGACATGCCTGGAAGACCCCTCAGCCTCCGATTGCAGGACATTCATTTCAGGAGCTTCTTCCCACAGCATCTTACACTTGCTCCGCACTGTCACCTGCAGAAGCCTGGCGGGCTCTTGGCACATGTGTATCTGAAGGTTACACTGGCCAGCATGTGCCTGTCCCGAGTCAGAGGGGAGACACAGTGGACTGGAAGGACCAATTGAAAGTGGCCAATCTGTATCAACTTAATTTGGCAGAGAAAATTTGTAACAACTCTGAGCGCATGCTGGGTGAAGTCAGCTCAAGGAAAGATCAAGATGCGGGGAGGAGGTGTGGGTGGCTTCTGGGGTGGGACCCAAAGGGGAGCCTCTGGGACACTGGCTTGGGGCTCAGTGCTGAGGAAGACATGGTGAGTGACGTGAGAACCCCTCTACATCTGCTCATGTGCTTGTGTCTAGGTGTGAATTGTAAACTGTCTAGTGTTTGCATTAAATAAAATGGCACCAACAGATCCTCATCTTCTCATGGTGTTAAGGTGCATCCTTGGTCAAGTGTTGCTACTTTTCCCTAAAGCAATTTATGATGTGGAGCTGATCTCATCACACTCACTTTGCGGTATTTCTCTAGAAGCTTAAAATTCTTGCATTTACCCCTCAATGACTAGCTGTGTCAGGACTTTGAAGGGTGGCCCCCCCTCACTGGTCAAGAAGGTAAGGCCAGGGGATGTGGAGCAACCAATGTCCTGGGGTTAGGGAGGGCAGAGGCAGGAGCAGAGTGCTGCCGGGCCGCTTCCAGGGAGCATGGGTTGCCCAGTCCCGGGCTGTCCAGGTAGGGTCTGGAAGCAGCCTGAGAGCCAGGCTCGCAAATCCCAAGGCTACTGCTCTGCCACCTTCAGAGCAGGCCGGTAAACAGTGGAGGTTCCGGTTCTGTGCAGTTGTTTGAACTGGATAGCTGAGTGAGAAAGGGGCCCTGCACTTCATCACTTGTTGCAACCTTGTGGAGAGTGGCCTGTTTGGGATAAAGTATGTCCTTGTCATCAACTTGCATCTTGGCTTCAAACTGAGAAGACATTTCAGTTCAGGGCATTTCAGCATAAAAACAAGATGCAGTGGACCCTGGGTTTTCACATGAAGGTTGGTTGTTTTTTCATTTTGTTTTGCCAACTTCGGCTTCTAGTGAAATGGCACCAGGTCTTCTCAAACCCGAGACCCTCGTGTGCCTCTCTTGTGCAGGAGTTCTGCAAGGCTAGCAGGGGCCTGGCAGAGCAGCCCTCCCAGCCTTGCTTGCTGCGGTGGTCTCACTGCTGGGGAAGGCGGTCTGGCAAGCAGTCCCCTGGGCATCCGCTGTGCCTAATATAGGGCTCTCTGGCTCACTCAGCAGTGACGTGTAGAGAGGGACAGGAACCCCACACCCTTAACAAGAAGACCAACACACAGGGCACATGGCAGTGGTGGGGGGGCGGAGGGTATGTGCAATTTCATCCAGACCTTTGTAGCCCTGAAAAGGTGAATACTCCTTTGGGGTGGGGACAGTGAGGCCTTAGCACGCCTCCAGACCTTTCCCAAGTCTCCACATTCTCTCAAGGTTACAGTTGAGGGCATTTCTGACTCAAATCAGTATTTCCTGTTTCAGCCAAAATACTCAAGATTCATGATACATTTATGGTTTAGTGATTGAATGAAATCACATGAAGGTACTATACATATATTAACTGTGCTTGACACACAGTAAACATTCAATCCATGTTATTTTATTACCAATTTTCCTCAAAGGAAAAATGTACTGAGATACTTTGAAAAGACAACAAAAAAGACCAGGGAGCAAACATATGATCATTTTAATAACAGATGAGACCAATACAACACTGTACCAGTTTTGAAAAACCTGAACTGTAAAGGTTTTGCATTCTAGTACACATGAAAACAAACAAAAATGCTTAGATAACAAAACCGTATTATTTCAAGTTGTTTTAGAAACAGTTCTGCGCTAGGAACATACAAAGGAAAATGACCCGTTGTGCTTAAAATCGAATGGGAATCTTTAGGGTCCTGCTGACCGAGCCCCGCAGCCCCGCCAGGTGAGGTGCAACAGGCCCGCTCCAGGCACCAGCTCCCCCCAGCTTGGCGTCTCTGGTTTGTCAAAGGCGTCATCCAGTCCACACTATGTTTAATACTCCTAGTCAGCTGGGGGCTTACATATTTCTGGGAACAAAATGGGCAATGTCCCCATTTAAATAAAAATCAGTATATCAATAATCCAGTTTATCCATTCATAAATATGCTTTCAGATATGTTAGGAACGTAAATCAAAAGTTAATGTCAAATATGATTTAGAAACAAATCCCATGGGTGATAAAAATGGAGAATTGATTTTAGGTTATCAAATTCCCTTGAATAAATCTCTCTGGTATCTTATAGGATAATTTTCAGTAAGAATCAGAAGGTTCCCAGTTTAAAAAAAAATCCATTCTCTACTTGACTATTAGAAAACCCTTAACATATTTTCAAAAATAAGGTCAATGTGTAGGACTCTGCCTGGAATCCACTAATTTGAAACCCACCAGCTAACATTGCTCTGCAGTCATGCTGGGGTTTCCTTAGGAGCGATTGCAGCTGTGTCTGCCTCTGAAGGTTGGATTCCTGCAGCCCATGGCGGGGTGGGGGGAGGTGCAGCAATGGGCACAGCACGAGGGAGGAGTGCGGCCTGCCAGTGCAGGACCCAGGTGTGCAGTATTCATCCTGTGGCATGTCGCACAGAGGAGCTCAGCGCAATGGCGTTCAAGTGGATGGAACCAATTGGTGGTAAATTAATTCCTGTGAGGACTGATGGAGTCACAGCTCAGCGTCGGTAAATAAAGCTCCGAAGTAGGAAGAGAGTGCTGACCAGCTGCGGTCGGCTCTGGGAAGGGAAAACCAAGGGAAGTACAAGCTATGCTTTTCCAAACCAAAGCCACAGCACCGTGGTTGCTTTCAGATATTGACAGGCAGCCATGTAAGCTGACTTGAAGGAACTGTGATAAAATGAGAAATGATTTCGTACAGGCAGATAACATAAGAGCAGACTGCTTTGACCCCAGCGGCTGGCAGCAGTAGTGATGTGGGAAGCATGGCCAGACAGCGCAGGAGGGAGGGGCAGGCAGTGCTCCTTGAAAGAGCCAGAGGCCAGCCTTGGCGGGGCTGGAAGACTGAGCATGGCCACTTGGTGCCATCCCCATGAAGGGGATGAGCTGTCCCAAGAGGCGAGTGCCAGAGTGAGGTGGGGACAGAACATGTTGCCCCTTAAATGACCATGTTCCAATCCCATTTCAAACGCACCACAGAAACATGAGCGTGAGGTTCGTAGGAAAAGACTTTCTCCCACGGTACAGTTGAGCCGATCCTTCCTCAGGTGAGTATTCTAAACATCAAAAAGGACATAGGAAAATAAAGCCCTGTTTTTCTTCTCTAAAAATACCATATATGTACACAGCAGGAATTGTTACAGGGGACCCCGTGCATGAAGAGGACTGTGGAACAGAGGGCAGTGGTCTGTCTTCTCCCCAAGTATTTCATTCAAAACAGTTTTCAGGTTGTGGTCAAGACCTGAGGGAAGCCCCGAGGCTGGCGATGCATCTTGAAGTGAGTGGTGTTTGTTGTTACTGAAGGATTTCACCTAGAAAGAACCTCAGTACTGCATCCCATTCATTTCGTTTCTCCCAAGCTGCCTGGATGCTAGGAGTTGCTTCACAGGGTGGATGTGACAGATGGCTTCCCTGTGAATCCGCTGACAGGAGGGAAACGAGCTGTTCACAAAACGAAAAGCACTTGACAACAGTGGGAGCTGTCACCCAGCCACACAAATGGTCCCCGGGCCTAATCCTAAAAGACAAGATCGCAAGTTACAGCCATAACAGTGATCGCCAGGTCCCTTTCCTGAGCCGCTGGAAGACTGTGGAGCAGCAGGCTGGCCCTGCCCGTCAGACTGAGGTGTGGACAGGAGTGGTGGAGTGGGAAGGTGAGGAGCCCCGCTCAGATGAGGATGAGACAGCGCGCGTGGCCACCTCACGCTGCAGGTCCTCCACCCGCTTCTGCAGCTCCGCCCTGACAGCCAGCAGCTCCTTGAGATTCTGGTGGATGGGCATCTGGAGGGAGCAGAGACAGAGCTGCGTTATCAGGCCGTCCTCCTGCCACAGCAGGTGCTGGTGGCTTCAGGAGGCTTTCACCACCCAGACGCCTGGTGTGGCCAAAGTCTCCTGAGGAGTTGACCGACCTCATGTCAGGTGGACAGTGGGACCCCATCCCACGAGCTTCGGCTGCCACTGAGGCTGCCCTGCAGCTCTGGGGGCCGAGCCACTGAGCTGGGATGGAAAAGGCACCATGGGGAGGCTCCCCAGTTCTCAGAAGACAGGCAGGCACGGGGACACTGCGCACCACAGATCAACTGAGGGCACCATGTGCAGACGCGGCGCAAGCAGTGTCCTAAAGACTGTGCGTCAGAAATGTTTACATGCAGACCCCCTTTCCAGCATCTCCATTATCTCTGTATTTTTGCATTTCTATAAATAGCTCTGCTGACTGAAAATCCTTCTGTTAAATCAGCACTTTCTACAACTTGATGCTGTGTTTTCATCAACCAAAACAGGAGCTGCCAGAAGCCCCCTGGAGCAGGCAGCGCTTGTCCGGGGGGGCCTCCCCAAGGGACCATCCCCTCCCTCCCTGCTCAGCATCACCCCAATGCCTCACCCCATTAGCTTTTCTCTTTTAAAACCATTGACTGTGGGGTGCAGGGGTGACTATAAACAAGAAAGGTTTTCCTGGGGCATATGGGACACCCAGTCCGGCTATTTGATAGTCAAAGCACCCAACTCAGCCTAACAAGCTCTCTCCAGCAGCTACTAGGGCGCCAGACACCCAAGACCCAGCTTTTCTTACCTGGAGCTCTTTGGCTGGGGGCAAGGCTGAGCAGAAAGGTCACTGACTGGGGGTAAAAGAGAAACAGGATGGGGCCTGGGGAGCTCCCCAGCCTTCCCTCGTCTCTGATCCAGTGTATCCACCGCAGCCATAGGGCTGGCTCCTAAGCATGAGTCAGGCCCTGTGACTCGCCACGCAACACCTTCCAGGGGCTTCTTCCCTCTGCCCCGAGAGGGGTCTCGCGTCTCTCTGCAGTCTGGCCCCAGCCTGGCCCTCCAGCTAACCTTTCACCAGATCCTGCCCCACTCCCTCAAAGACTGGGCTGCATCAACAGTGCCTCCAATAATATGGTGCTCGGTAACCAGCACCCAGTGGGCTGAGAACTAATGGCCCCGTTGGGCAGGCCACAGGAAGGAGAGAGGGGACCGGTGGAGTGTGGTGGCAAAGGCAGATCCCAGAGGCCTCTGTGAGGTGGCAGCAGCTCCTCTCTTACCTTTAGGACCCATCTCGTATGCATTTTCCTGTCTGTAGGATCATTGAATTCTGATCAAACAAGGGAAGACCTTACAATCAAGCTCCCATTATCCACCCACAGGCATGTGGCCTCAGTGAGAAGCAAGACCCGCAGGGCAATACTCCATTCACACACAGGCAGGGCAACACGCGATTCACACACGCGCAGGGCAACACCCCGTTCACACGCACGCAGGGCAATACCCCGTTCACACAAGCGCAGCGCAACATGCCGTTCACAAACGCGCAGGGCAACACCCCGTTCACACACGGGCAGGGCAACACCCCGTTCACACACGCGCAGGGCAACACGCCGTTCACACACGGGCAGGGGAACACCCCGTTCACACACGGGCAGGGCAACACGCTATTCACACACGGGCAAGGCAACACCCCGTCCACACACGCGCAGGGCAACACGCCGTTCACACACGGGCAGGGGAACACCCCGTTCACACACGGGCAGGGCAACACGCTATTCACACACGGGCAAGGCAACACCCCGTCCACACACGCGCAGGGCAACACGCCGTTCACACACGCGCAGGGCAACACGCCGTTCACACACGGGCAGGGCAACACGCCATTCACACACGTGCAGGGCAACACGCCGTTCACACATGGGCAGGGCAACACCCCGTTCACACATGCGCAGGGCAACACACCATTCACACGCGCATGGCAGAGACCCAGGACTGCTCAAAGGCACCGCGATCATTTCTTCAGGCAGCTGTTCCCATCTTTTCTCACTTTCTTTTTTGAGGTGGAGTACAGTCTCACTCTCTCCCTCAGGGTGGAGTACAATGGCATGATCTCAGCTCACTGCAACCTACACCTCCCAAATTCAAGCAGTTCTCCTGCCTCAGCCTCCTGAGCAGCTGGCATTACAGGCACCTGCCACCACTACGTCGGGCTACTTTTTGTATTTTTAATAGAGATGGGGTTTCACTATTTGGCCAGGCTGGTCTTGAACTCCTGACCTCAAGTGATTTGCCCGCCTCAGCCTCCCAAAGTACTGGGATCACAGGCGTGAGCCACCATGCCCAGCCTACTATTTTCATTTGCAACAAATCAGGGCATGCCTAAAGGAATAGAAAACTCGGAGGCTTAAACAGAGGATTGTGTTAGAGAAAATTCCCATCTAAGGGCCAGTCATGTTTGCCCCATGGGTGCTAGCATAATGAAACTTAAGGCAAGACAGTCCCAAGGAAAAAGGATGCCCACGGGCCTTCTGCACCCAGCCATCCTCTGATGGATGCCCAGAGAACCCCTCTCGGCAGCTGATTTAGCCACTCCCTTCTCAGAGAAAAGACGTCCAACAGGCTTGCACCTCCCCTTTCTTTATCTCCATACTCCCTCCTCTCACATCTCCTCCTCCTCCTCTCAGCCCTACCCGGCTCCCCAGACCCTGTCTCTGGACACCCACACCAGCCGCTGATCTCTTCCTGTCTTCACTGTACTGCCCCATCCCCATTCCCATCTACCTCAGTGCTGCCAGAGTGAGCTTTCTAGAACATACACTTGGCCTTGTCATGCAAATCATGGGATGGTTCCCACAAACCCTGGAATAAAGTCCAAACTCCAACCTGCCTCTCCAGCGTCCATCATTACCAAGGCCCAGCCCACTCCCCAGCACACTGTGTCCACACCCAGGAGGTGTCCAATACATGCCTATTGTGTAGAGGATAAAAACCTGACCCACATACTCTTTCTTGGTTCTCTCTTCTGTGTAGCACAGTGGAGGGAGAATGCAAAAGGCAGGACCACTCACCTACCACCCTCTGAGCACAGTGTACTTGGAATGGATTCACTTCCTGCTCAGCAACCCCGTGAGGTCCCAGTGAGGCTCAGGACCCTGCCACAGATCAGAGACGGGATCTGGCCCTGGTAGGAAGCATCCTTCCACAACTACCTGCACCAAGCAGCAAGATCTCAGCCAAGTCACAGCTTCTCTGACCCTTCCCTCATTCTCTACACCATGGAATTGCTGGGAGCGTCAACTGGGGTCATGCGTGTACAGAGCCCACTGGCACACAAGAGGACTGCAAGTTACAGGTGCGATCACTGTGGATCCATCATCACCATGTTGCAGATGACTTCACTTACACGTGTAAGAATCTGACCGCATCTGGGAACAGATCTGTCATGCAGTTTGTAGATTTCAGGAAAGATCTGTTCCCTGCCCTCACATGGTGGGCAAGAATCTGAGCCTGGGTGCTCCCCTGCGGGACAGCACTTTAACCCTCTCTGCTGCTCAGTGTTTCTTCACCTCTGCCACCTGCTGGACAAAGCAGGGCATGGCGGAGTGCCGGGCAGGGGGTCTCCTGCAGTCATGGAAGGACCCGGTTAAGCCTAAGGCACTTCAGATCAGGCAGAGTTCTGCTGAATTTTCTGCTAATGTAAATGACATTCCACCAGCCACCTGGTCCTCTGAGTCACCAAGAATACTACCTGGTCACTCTATGTGATTTAAGTAACATAGTGACTTCTGACATTCTGTAGCCCATTTTCCCTGTTGCTAAAACATGAAACAGAAGTCACCCAGGACAGAATAACTCAGCAAAATGCCTAAGTAGGACAGAAATACACATTGGTGAAGAGGAAGGTGCTGGAAGGGGGCTGCGGACTGTGGTTCCCAAGTAAAGTTAACCACTGACTGGAAACAAGAACTTGATGGGCCCCGTGTTTAGCATCTAAAGTAATGCCCCTGAGGTCGGAAAGCAGAGCAGGTTTGGACCTGGACTCCAGGGGAAGGAGAGCAGGTCACCCTGCACATGGACTTCTTCAGCTAAAACCAGGACAGAAGATGCTAATGGGACCAGCAACCTCTCGCGCTCACTGATGGTTTCTGGGCACACGGGCCATTTCAGACAGCTCGCCTTCAAACTCAATTCTCATTTGGGGAAGGATTCAATCTAATGACAAGCAGTTATTAGATTAATAACTTAGATTAATTCATAACAAACATGGACTAGTCTTGCAGATCACAAAGTCTAAAGGGAGAGGGAAATGTAAAATTTTTTTTTTTTTTTTTTGAGATGGAGTCTTGCTCTGTCGCCCAGGCTGGAGTACAGTGGCGCGATCTGGGCTTACTGCAATGTCTGCCTCCCAGGTTTAAGTGATTCTCCTGCCTCAGCCTCCTGAGTAGCTGGGACTACAGAGGGGCATACACCACCACACCTGGCTAATTTTTAAATCTTTTTTTTTTTGAAGGACGCACAGTCTTTATTCCTGCTGGCAGGGGAGGTGGTCCTGTGGCTGGTGGGCACCTCAGGCTGGCAGCTCTCACCTCTTGTTGGCTGGCAGCTTCAGCCACTTGGGCACCTTGCCCAGGCTTGTCTTCACAGGCGGGACCATCCCTGAGATGGGCTCAGCGGGACTCAGCACCCCCTCCTCAGCAGATGGCTCAGACTCAGGTGCAGGGTTAGGGGCTGGCAATGGGAAAGGGGCCCTGGCGGCTCTGGACATGTACCTGGCCACCAGCATGTCGGCCACAGATGGGGAGATGGTGTGCTCCAGCAGTCCAGGCTCCAGGTAGACATCTGCTGGTTCCTTGGCTCCAAAGTGCACCAGAGCAGCCGGGAAGAGGTTCGCCTGAAAGAGGGTGCACGAGTAGTTGTCCAGGACTGTTTTTGGAAGGGTGATGAACAAGTAAAATGGCAGCTCAGGGTGCCCCAGGTGGCTCCTCACGAAGTCTCGCTGGGGCGGAAGAAGCCCTGCAGGATGTAGCGGTCAGGGAACAGGACCCTCAGAACCACCTTTGGGTAGTGCTCCAGCTTCTCCTTCATCTGCGCCTCCCTGAAGGCCTTGGTCATCAAGGGTGCTTCTTCCAGGCGCTTCTGGTCACTCTTGAGCTGGGCCAAGCATCTTCTCACATCGTCCACCATCAGCTCAAAGAATTCATCAAGCAGCTCCACCAGCCAGGCCTGCAGCCACTCCTCCAGGTTGGGGTGGCACACAACTGGCACCTGGTCCACAGGTGGCTCTGGCTCTGGCTCCGGCTCCTGCTGGGGATCCTGGCCAGGCTTGGACTTCTTTGGCTTGGAGGGGCCTCCGGGGCTGGAGAGGAACTTTGGCAACTTGGCTGATGATGAAATCAGAGGCCTCATGGGCCCAGAGGGGCGCCCCAGTTGCTGTCCCCCGCCCGAGAAAGGAACGAAGGGGGCAGGCATGGGCACCCTCATGCTCTGCTTCTCCTGCGAATCCTCGCAGCTGGACCCCACAGTGTCCATGTCTTCCTGACAGCTCAGGTCACCATGGCAGAGCTCCCCAGATTCCAAGGGGAGTGGAGGACTGGCGGCTGCCTGGCCAGCTGACGCTGATGAGCCCAGGCTTCCTGGGTTTTTGCCCATAGGGTCACAGCACTTCATGACAAACCTGATGGAAGCACCGCCCCTACTGAGGCCCAGTGACTGCAGTCTGATGTCGTTCAGGGTGGCTTCACCTGTCACCTCATCCCTTGTGTACACACACACTGGGGTCACCCCACCAGGCTTCTGCAAGCAGTCCCTGGTCTGTGCAAAATGGCTGAGAAGCTCCCAGAGGGTCTGGCCTGAACAGAAGGTGTCCTGCAGCCTGGAGCCGTCATCCAGCTGCAAAGCAATGCAAACCATGTTCTCGGACCCCTCGTGGCTCCAGGAGGCAGGCACCATCTCCAGCTTGGCATTATTGGGTAGGTTGGCAAATCTCCACTGGAGAGAAAGGCCGAGCACGCTCCTCTGAAACTTCAGATCATATTCACAAGGGTTGAAGTTCTGCCGCCAGCACGTGTCCTCAGAACCTGAAGCGGCATGGTGCTCGGCATCACCTTTCCGGTGTGGCGCCGGCCGTTCAGGGCCAGCACCGACACCACGGAGCCTCTGCCACCTGCCAGGGCTGCCATGTTCCACTCACCAATTTTTTAAGTTTTTAGTAGATATGTTGTTTCACCATGTTGGTCAGGTTGGTCTCAAACTCCTGACTTCGTGATCCAGTTGCCTCGGCCTCCCAAAGTGCTAGGATTACAGGTGTGACCCATCGCGCCCAGCCAGAAATGTAAATTTTTTTAAAAAATAGGAAGAAGGAAGCTAAGATGATGCCAGGAGCCTAAATGGTGGCCAAGTGGTGAAGGGCGTGAGGAGCTGGTGCCATTGGGCAGCCACAGAAGGTGATGCCTGGGCTGTTAGGCAGGGGCGAAAGGTCTCTCCACAGGAAGCTGGAGCACGGACTCAAGGGAGACTGAGGCAGGGAGTGTAGGCAGAAGGCTGTTCCAATATTCCAGAGGATGGGGTGTGGAGGGGAGACCTGCGGGAGGGGCTGGTGGGGATAGGACAGGTTTAGGGTGGGCAGGCGTCAGTCCTCTGTAGGCTGTGGGGCAAGAGCCATGGGACGCAGTGGGAAGAAATGCGGTTCAAGGGGCTGGAGGGAGCAGATATGCAGGAGGAAGCGGCCTGCAGCAGAGGGCCCACCTCTTCATCCATCACGTGTTCACTCAGTCACATATGTCGAGCCTCTGTTAGTTACCAAACTCCATACTAGGTGCTGAGGGCTCTGTGGTTTCAAAGCCTGTGCTCTGTAGGGGTAGCAGGCAGGCAAACAGGCTGGTGCAGTATTGAGTGCCTTGGGGAATTCTACAGGCTGCTTATTAGCAGCACGTCCAGCTCTCTTTCTCAGAGTGTACTAGTTTGGGCAATAAACATAGGGCCACCAGAGCACCAGGTGAACAGGGAAGAGGGCGCTCACGGGGAAGGCTCCAGGGCAGCATGAGTCCCAGCGGCTCCCTGGCTAGTGGGAGAGGGACACAGATGCAAGTCTCTCCCAACCAAGGAAGACTCTGGGAAGGGCTGAAAGAGGTGATCAAATACTAGTTGTTTTCATACATGGGAAGACACAAAGGGGGGCTCATTCACATGGGGAGCTGATTCAAGCAGGGGCAAGGTGTTTACAAGGGGAGAAGTGGCTAAGGGCCCTTGGGATGAGGAGCTCCCTCACAGCCAGGCTCCTTCCCACCTCCCCAGGCTCAGTGTACAAGTACTAGGCTGAGTGAGTGCTGACCACAATGTTGTGGAAAACACTCCTGAGGTCCTAAGGGTGGCAGGGCCAACTCGGAGGGTCCAAGGGAGAACAGCATTTGCAGCTGCAGCTATGAGGAACAAAACAGAAAGCCATCTGGGAAAGAAAAGGTGAGCGATGACCAGCCTGGTCTGCGGTAGAGGGCAAAAGATCCAGTAAGGGGTGGCCAAACAGTAGGTGGGGCAGCAGGGAGCACCCAGCAGGTGGAGCATGGAGCTGGGCTACCAGTGAGGGAGCTTTCCAGCGGGGAGGGCGCAGTACTACAGTGGCGTATCCTTGAGGTTCCAGAGCCAGGCAGCTAAAAGGAACATGAGCAGTTCAGACTGCCCATGGCTAGTAGAGCGTGGAGATCATGAATCCCTAGGTGAGAGGAGGGGAATGAAAAGATGGAGAGGAAAGGCAGATTTCTGCATCTTGCCTGACAGAAGCAACACTGTTAACAATGGCCTGGCTACACGCTCCTGGGGGACTACAGTAACTCTGAGAGTATTCAACTCAAAAGAAAAATCTCGAGCCTGGCATGGTGGTGTGCACCTGTAATCCCAGCACTTTTGGAGGCTGAGACAGGCGGATCAATTGAGGCCAGGAGTTTGGGACCAGCCTGGCAAATGTGGCAAAACCTTGTCTCTACTAAAAGTACAAAAATTAGCTAGGCATGGTGGAATCCCAGCTACTTTTGAGGCCAAGGCAGGAGAATTGCTTGAACCTGGGAGGTGGGGATTGCAGTGAGCCAAGCTTGTGCCACTATGTTCCAGCCTGGGCAAGAGAGCAAGATTCCATCTCAAAAAAAAGAAAGAAAAAGAAAAATCTCAGTAGGCAGTTATCTGTTCATGGAGGCAAGGTGTGCCTCCACTTGTCATCTTCACCACCTAGAACCAACCATGCCCTGGCCACCCATGTGGAGACTGGGGGCGCGGGGCAGGACTGAATCAAAACCCACAGCACAATGGAGGATGGGGGAGCTCTTCAGGAACCCGCAGCCAGAGCTCAGCCATTGAAGGCAAAGGGAGGACACAGGCTTGGCGGAGGGGCCCCTGTAGTGTGCCATTCTCTAATTTTGTTCCATCTCAGAAAACATTACAGTGAAAAAGTGTGGCGGGGAGGGGCAAACTCTCCCTTCTTCAAGGGGGCACCTGCCTCCACTGTTGGACCATCAGGGTCTATACACCATAACCCTGACACAATTTCCACATGCCTTTCTACCACCTCTATGTGGAAACAGGGAGAAGGGCTGCCCCACCCCCATACCTCCAGGTAAAATAGTTTATAAGACGAAGGGCCAAGCACAGGAACACATGACACTTTATGTACCTCATCAGTACGGGACCCAGCAAACAGCATCTGAGTTGGTGTACGGGAGGAACCTCCTAGAACAGGAATGCAAAGGACTGAACCCTGACAGGCGAGCGCAGAAGACAGTCAGTATGGGTATGTTGATATCTACCATTAACACATTTCCATACCACCATCTTGACTTGGAAAAAAAGGCACACTCTCTCATTCGGGAAGAGAAAAACAAAGATACCTGAGGTCTCATCCGTGGATTCCATCGTACGTAATAGTTTACCCACAATTCCAGATGACTCAGACTAGCAACAGGATATAACACGTGGTTTTCATAATTCACAAAGAAGGGATTAGAAAACTCATCTAGCTGGCTATTGATATACGACCATAAAGATACAGTCTTTGCATATATATCCTGAAAAACAAAAAAAGAAACATCTGAAATAAGCTTATCTTCATATTATCAAGAATTAGTATTACACAGAGAGAAGGATTTGAATAATGAAGTGAATTCAAATGCTGAAAATTTCATGAACATTTACTAAGCCCCAGCCCCACCGTCTTGCCACTCATGGCCTCATGTAGGGATGAAATGAAAACACATTGGTTGCTGTCCTGGAAAAACATATTGCTGAGGTCAGGCAGCATCTGACAACTGTGTCTACGGAAAGGCAGAGTGAGAACTTTCTAATGACCACAGGATGATAGGGCCCGCCGTGACAAATATAATTTTAAATTCTGGTGTCCAATTTGGTTTTGTAGGCTGGGCACAGTAGCTCAAGCCTATAATGCCAGCACTTTGGGAGGTCACAGTGGGAGGACTGCCTGAGGCAGGAGTTTGAGACCAGGCTGGGCAACACAGTGAGACTTTGTCTCTACAAAAAATAAATAAATTTAAAGACTAGCCAAGTATAGTCCCAGCTCCTCAGGAGGCTGAGGTGGCAGGATTGCTTGAGCCCAGGAGTTTCAGGCTATAGTGAGCTATAATTGTATCACTGTATTCCAGCCTGGACAATAGAGCAAGACCCTGCCTCTAAAAGAAAAAAATGTTAGGGGGCTTTTGTGACACTCTTTTTTCTGAGATGGAGTTTCACGCTAGTCTGGAGTGCAGTGGCACGATCTCGGCTCACTGTGATCTCCGCCTCCAGGGTTCAAGTGATTCTCCTGCCTCAGCCTCCTGAGGAGCTGAATACTACAGGCACATGGCACCACACCCGGCTAATTTCTGTATTTTTTGGTGGAGATGGCATTTCACCACGTTACCCAGGCTGGTCTCGAACTCCTGATCTCAAGTGATCTGCCTGCCTTGGCCTCCCGAACTGCTAGGATTACAGGCCCAGCTGTGACTCTTAACATTGAGAAATGAGAGTAAATTTTACAGTAAGATTCTTCGCGCTGGAAAATCATGGCTATCTGGAGGAAAATGTGCTGTGGCGGCAGGCTGGAGAAACTTTGTAAAGAGAAGTAAATATGTCATTAAGTTCTCTCTTCTTCCTCTAATTTTGTAGTACACTCTTCAGAAGCACTGTACCCACTGGCATTCCTCATCTGAACAAAAACACCCAAATGTGGTGAGGCAGGTAGAGACTAAACGATGGATCGAGCACAATGACAAAGCCAGATGGGGAAATGGCAAGGCCGTCAGCATTTTCTCCCATTCTGCTGCTGACTTCCCATGAGCTATCTAAATACAGCAACATTTGATTAGGATGATTTCAACTTTTATACATTTATTTTAAGAGTATCACAAACAATAATTAAAAGGATCCAGAAAAGAAAAAAGTAGGAGGCCTCACACTTCCCATTTTCAAAAGTTACTACAAAGTCACAGTAATCAATGCCAGTTGTGCTGGCATAAGGACAGACATGCAGATCAATGGAACAGCACAGAGAACACAGAAATGAATTCTCTCACATTTACGGTCAACTGATCTTCAACAAACGTGGCAAGAAAATTGAATGAGGGAAAGATAATCTTTCCGAAAATGGTGCTGGAACAGCTAGATAGCCATCACACAAAAGAATAAAGTTGGATCCTTAATTCACACTGTATACGAACGTTAACTCAAAACAGATCACAGACCTAAATGTAAGAGCTAAAAGTATAAAACTCTTAGAAGAAAACATAGGAACAAATCTTCGTGACTTTGGGTTAAGCAATGGTCTCTTTGATATGATACCAAAAGTGTAAGCAGCATGAGAAAAAATAGATAAATTGGGCTTCATCAAAATTAAACACCTTTGTGCTCCAAAGGACACCATGAAGAAAGTAAAAAAAACAACCCATAAGTGGGATATAATTTTTGCAAATCATGTATCTTCTAAGGAACTTGTATATATAAAGAATGTATAAGGAACACTTACAACTCCATCATAAAAAGGACAAATAACACAATTTTAAAATTAACTAAGGATCTGAATAGACTTTCTCCACAGAAGATATGCAAATGGCCAATATGCACATGGAAATATGGTCAACATCATTAATTGTTGGGGAAATGAAAATCTAAAACCACAACACACCACTTGCCACTTACTAGGATAGCTATAATCTTTTTAAAAAGGAATATAGTAAGTGTTGGTGAAATGTGGAGAAATTGGAAGCCTCAGACATTGCTCATGTGTGCAACTGCTTTGAAAAACAATCTGGCAGTTCCTCATTAAGTTAAACATAGTTGCAATATGACCAAGTAATTCCACTCGTAGGTAATGAAAGCATATGTCCACATAAAAACCTGTACATGAATGGCTATAGTAGCATTATTCCTAAAAGGCAAAATGTGGAAACAACCCAAATTTCTATCAACCAATAAATGGATAAACAAAATGTGGTCTATCCATAGAATGGAATATTGCTCAGCCATAGAAAGAATGTATTGGTACATAGATGAACGTTGAAAACATTATGCTAAGTCAAAGGAAGACAGTCATAGAACTTCATCTATCGCATAATTCCATTTCTATGATGTCCAGAATAGGCAAATCCGTAAAGACAGAAAGCAGATAGATGGTTTCTGGGGAAAGGGGTAGGGAAATGGGAAGTGATTGCTACTGAGTATGACATTTCTTTTGGGGGTGACAAATTTTATGAAATTAGACCAGGCGCAATGGCTCACACCTGTAATCCCAGCCCTTTGGGAGGCCAAGGCGGGAGGATCACTTGAGGCCAGGAGTTCCAGACCAGCCTGGGCAACATAGCAAGACTCCCATCTCTACAAAAAATAGAAATAAAGAAATTTTATGAAATTAGATACTGGTGATGGTGCACAATATGGAGTATGCTAGAACCATGAAATTGTACACTTTAGGTGGGTGAATTCTACAGTATGTAGATTATATATCAAGAGAGGTGATTTTTCTTTTTTCTCCAAAGGCACTAGACTGGAAGAGAGCTGATTTTTTTAAGAATGAATTTTGCACTCCCCCTCTCAAAAAAAAAAAAAAAAAAAAGAAGACAAAACCATGGTTTAAATTCTTTACATAAACTTCATTCTTCTGTTTCTGGTTTTATTTGTTTTAAATGGCTTTGAGATATAACTCGCATAACATAAAATTCACTCTTCTAAAAATGTTTTTCTTTTTATCAGAAAGTTAACAAGCCCCATCACGCTGGGTCCTCAGGAGCACGGATTTTCTTCTAACTGCAGTGGGAAGCGGTGGAGAGGTACATGATCAGATTTCAGTTAGTGAATGCTCGCTCTGGTTGCTATGTTTAGAATGGACTACTGAAGGTCAGGAAGAGAATCAGGGAAGCCCATTCCTGGGTTTCTGCCTTAATCCAGATGTGAGACAGTAGGGGCCTAAGCTACGCTTGTAGCTATGAGGCAGTTAGGAAGTGGCAGATAAAGAATATGCTTTGGGAAAAGGCCAGCAGCACTCACCAAGGGACTGGGTGTGGTAGCTAGGGTGAGGGTAAGGGAGGAATGGAAGGTAACTCCCACATATTTGGCCTCGGTATCTGGATGGGCTGTGGTGCTGTGGACTGAGATGCAAAAGAGCCAGGGAGGAGCAGGAAGAGGCATTTAGGTCCCCAAGGTGGGACAAAGTCACCTAGAAAGACAGAACAAGAGTTGAGGCGAGAAGAGGACCTAGGACTGGGCCCACGTGACTCCAACTTTAGAGACTAGTTAAAATGGCACCAGCCATAGGAGACTGAGCAGAGGAGGCCAAGGAGGCAGGGAAGAGGCAGGACGACATGGGGTCACAGAATGAGGACACTGTCAACTTGGGGGAGGCTGCTGAAAGAGGAGGTGGGCGTTACTGGCAGACTGTTTTCTCCTGAATTCTATACCGTCCTAATGTACTCAGCTCACAGGCAGTGGTCCTTGTCTATTAGCAGGACCATACTCCTGAAGCTGCCTTTTTCCAATGCCTTCTCATTTTTGGCCACATCTTTCTTTTATCTCACACCAAGGGAAAAAGAAAGAGGTGAGATGTAACTCCGAGAAGTTTGGTAACTGCTTCGTTACTACTTTGATGTAAAAAAGTGTTAGGTTGCTACCTAAAGTGGGGTTTTTGGCTAATTAGCAGACTCCATTTGCAAGGCCTTCAAGTACAATCTGTCCAGCACCACAGGGGATGAAAAGCAGAATCAAATGGTGCTGGAGTTGGTGCAGTGGGAAACACACGAACTCAGAGTCAGGAGGTCCAGGGTCTAGCACTGATCTACTCCTTAGAGAGCCATGGGCTCTCTGGGTCCCAGTCCCCCATGCCTAGAAAGGAAGGGACTAGTGTTAGACACATGCAGTGGGGCTGGCCGGAACCCAGGAGGGCATTTACAGTCAGCAAGAGCACCAGAGCGCAGTCCTCCCTCCCCTCAGCCCTCCTACAGTGGCACTTCCTAGGAGAGGTGCCTGAGCCACAGAGAAAGCAACAGGCAAGGACACAACACACTCACCTCTTTGAATCGCTGCTGTTCACAGTTGCACAGAAAGGTCCCAAAAAGACAGCTATAAAGGTGATCCAAAATTGTAATCAAGAATAGCTCATTAAACTCGAATGCTGAAGGAAACTTAAATGAAGAGGAAAAAAATAAGGTTTAGTCATAGAGTCCAATTTCTAAAACAGAGTAACACTAGTTTTTAGTGAAAGACAGCAAAATTGCAACTTGGAATACAGTCAGATTTAAAGGAAGATTGAGTCCACGTAAAGTTCAACTACCTGCAGTTTTGAGTCCAACTTTACAGCTGTGGCTGAGAAACAACCAGAAGCACTAAACTTGTTGTCCTCAATGCCCAAAAAAGCTTACGTGGCTTCCGCTTTCACCATGGCGGTAAGACAGAGCCCAGACTCGCCCTTCTGCCAGAAACAACTAGCAAGCTGCATAAAATATGAGAAATGACTGTTTTCAGACACTGGCAACAGGCACTACTGGACTGTAACCCTGAGAGAAGGGAAAGAAATGAGGGGAGCCCCGCTATTGGGCCAGCTTCCCCGCTGCAGGCATGTCCCAGGTCAGGGGTACCGGGAGCAGTAGACCTCAGTCAGAACACGCACCCAAAGTGACTCAAGAAAAAATAGAAAATCTGAGTAGCTCTCCATCTATTAAATAATCAACTCCAAATTAAGAACCTCCCCACAAAGCCAACTCCGTGACCATACACCCCTGGATTCTTACCAGTGTAAATGAGCAAGCTGAACCTGGCAATATATTAAAAAAGGTAATACAACATGACCAATTGGGGTTTGGACTGGCTTAACCTTTGAAAATCTGTTACAAAACAAATCAATGACTGTAATTCCCATATCAGCAGAGGAGGCAAAACCACGGATCATCTTGATTGTTTGAGGTCATTCTTGATGGGGCTCTGCAGAATTCCATGAAGACTATTACTGTTGCCAGCAGGTTCTAGCCAGTAGCTGGCGTGTTGTGGCCATGAGATGATCTGGAAGTGATAATAATTACCCTAACAGCAGGCATGTACTGAGTGCCTACCATGTGCCAGAACTCTAATGTAAAAACACAGCAGAATATTCATCACCTACTAAGTGAAGTAAAACCAAATGGAACTACCCAGCATATTTGTATTTAAGTCAGTTTACTTAAAAACCTATTCTTCAACCAGAGTGATGCATGTCCACTATCATGACAAATCTTCACATCTCCAGAATGACAGATCTATCAGGATCACTGACAGACAAGTTTTTTAGTTTAGCTTGACTACTTTCCTACACTAGCAACAGGCTTTTCGATTAGAACCATGGCCAATCCAGGACTGTCCAAACTCCCTTTTCTTTACCAGGCTGTTACATTAGCTGACTTAAGGAATTATGCTCAGATACCTTAGATTAAGACTTGCTTCTCTCTCCATCTTAAGGATTGGTCTCATAGAAACATACAACTGTCTTCTAAGGAATCCTATCAGAATATCACTGCTTCAGAAACCTCTGGAAACTAACTCTGGTGGTTCTTACTGGCATCCTTGTTCTTAGATGAACTAAATCAACAATGTAATGTCTCTGGCTGAAATGCTAACGATAGCTACTGGTTAATCCTTTCTTGGAGGCTTTAAGATTGCCCCTTGCAACTCTGACAATGGCCTCACATTTCAAATGGCCATCTTTCTCTATTTCTGTCTCTCCGTCTCTCATTCATGAATTTATTTATTTAAGACAGGGTCCCACTTTGTTGCCCAGGCTGGAGTGCAGTGGCGCAATTGTGGTTCACTGCAGATTCAACCTCCCAGGTTCAAGCGGTCCCTCCCACCTCGGCCTGTCAAGTAGCTAGGACCACTGCCACACCCAGGTAGTTTTTGTTTGTTTTTGGTTTTTTTGGAGAGACAAGGTCTCCCTGTGTTGCCTAGGCTGGTCTTGAGCTCCTGATCTCAAGTGATCCTCCCATCTCGGCCTCCTAAAGTGCTTGGATTAGAGGCATGAGCCACTGCGCCCAGCTAAAATGGCTATCTTTTAACAGGCTAGGCACACTATGTCCAATTTTCCCAGGACTCCTCCATGCAGCTTAGTTATGCCTTATTCATAAATTATTGACACCACAGAATTTGTGAATTGTAAGCAAATATATGACACTTTTGTGTACTGAAGACTTATTACATCAAGGATAGGAATAAAAGATCCAGGGTTTTGTCCTATATTTTACAATTCTCAAACTTTTAAAAATAAATGTTTACTAACAAGAGAGCAAATTGTTGACATATTTTCAAGCCATATAAGTGATATGAACTAAATATTTGTATTCCCCCAAATTTCTATGTTGAAATTCTCGTCCCCAAGGTGTAGTCTGAGGAAGTGACGCCTTTGGGAGGTGATCGTGTCATGAGGGTAAGCTCTCGTGAATGGGATTAGTGCGCTTCTAAAAGAGGCCCAAGAAAGCTCTCTTGTCCCTTCCATGATGTGAGGTTACAATGAAAAGACAGCTAATCTATGAACCAGGAAGCAAGCCCTCATCAGACACTGAATCTGCTGGTGCCTTGATCTTGGATTTCCCAACCTCCAGAACTATGAGAAGTAAGTTTCTGTTGTTTATAAACCACCTCAGTTTATGATATTTTGTTACAGCAGCCCAAACAGACTATGGAAACAAGTCTTGACTCCTAGCCCCTGAGCCTACATTCTAGATCTGGGAGCTTGGGAAGGTGTGTTCTAGTGTCAGTGAGGACAAGCCTTATTCTGGCCAACTGGAGGTCAAAGTGGGCAGGGCTCAGTCCAAACCCATTGGCACCCATGAAAACTGGAAAACAAAGGCTCCATCTACTCATGTTGGGTCAAGACTGCAATTTATACTCAGGGAGTGTGGTGGCATCAAGCTCAACTCAGAAAACAGCTCACTGGGGGAAACAGTAGCAGGTGGAGTAATACAAATGAAAGATTCGATCATTGCAATTCACAGTTTGTTTTGGCATCTTCTCCTAGAAACTGTACCTTTTACCTAAAAGTATGATTTCCAAAAATACATAGCACAGTAATCTATAATAAAATTCTACACCTCTTTTATTTTTGTTTTAGAGGCAGAGTCTCACTCTGTCACTCAGGCTAGAGTGCAGTGGTACAATCATAGCTCACTGTAACCTCGAACTCCTGGACTCAAGCAATCCTCCTGCCTCAGTCTCCCGAGTAGCTGGGACTACAGGTGCACACCACCATGGTTGGCTAATTTTTAATTTTTTTAAGAAACAGGGGTCTCACTATGTTGCCCAGGCTGGTCTCAATCTCCTAGTCTCAAGTGATCCTCCCACCTCAGCCTCCTGAGTCACTGAGATTATTATAGGCATGAATCAGCATACCTGGTCCCGATTCTGTACCTCTTGAGGAACAAAAATATCAATGACTATTAAACCTATCCAAAACGGTAAGGATTATATTAAATTATGGATATTATAGAGTATCTTTGAGGCTCTTCTTTAAAGAGTCCCTGCATTATTTTTCCCTTAGTTTCTTTGTCACATAGAGACTAGTTCACTTTATTCTGATATTTCTGACAGCTTTACACTGCATAGCTTACTCGAGTTAGCAGTAGGCAACCTAAAAATAAATTCATCTTTCATATGAATGCATCTTATACCAATCTGCTATATATCTCATTCGTTAATGAACTGATCAAGACTAATCATTGATGTCTCTGCTAATGCATTTACAACGTAATTTTAAAAGAAATTAATTATACACACATTTCATGGAATCTTAGAGCTATGAGAGGCATCTGAAATCTTCTAATGCAAACCCCTCATTTTCTTTCTTAAAATTCAATAAAAGCACAAAAATGACATGGCTTAGACATGAGAACAGGTTCTAAGCAGTATAAAGAATTGAGGTCAGTTTGAAGATGTTAAAAAATACACACTTGGGAGGAATAAGCTACTTTACATCCACAAAAGAGGTGCTTATCCCTTTAGAAGCACTGCAATTATTTTTCGTGTTCAACCTTTTTATGCAATTTTTCTAAAATGTGTTTCATACTTTCTTGTCCTAACCTGAACGTGACAATCATTTAATTTTGCTATTGGCTCAGCATCAACACACACAGCAATGGTGCCCAGCACTATAAAACGGCAAGGCTTCAGGCCAGCCTTCGTGCTCGAGGAGTGTGTTTGCTGCTACCTTTCACCTGTACCATCAGCACACCTACCTCTGGGACCAGCCCCTCTTACCTGGGCCAGCTCTCTAACAGGCTGTTATCACCTGTGTGTGACCTGGCCATCAGATCATGTGAGACCCCAATCAGTTTGTTGAAGCTAGGTGTAAAAGTCAGTGTTAATTTCTCAGTGAGGGCCTGAGGATTCCAAGAAATCTACTTTAGCTACTCAGAACCCCTTCCCTTTGTCTCTTATTTCTAAAGGTATGTCAGTGTACTCCCTTGCCACTGAAAATGTGATCTGTGACCTGAGAGCTTATCAGAAATGTAGCATCTCAGGCTGTGCCCCAGCCCCACTGAATCAGAATCTGCATTTCAATATGAAATGGGAGCCCCAGTGGATGTGTGTGCTCATTAAGGTTTGAGCAGTGTTAGTCTATAGCAATGGTCTCAAAGTTGAGCATCCATCAGACCCTAGAAGAGCTTGTAGAGCCAGAGTGCTGAGACCCGCCCAGAGTACTGGCAGGTCTTCAGTGAGGTCAGAAGATTGGTGTCTCTATCTAGTTCTCAGGACCACCATTTGGAGCACTAAGTTAGATCACAGGTTCTCAAACTCATTTGCACATCTGAATCACCTGGAGAACTTTTACACACACCTGAGCCTGTCCCCAGGCTCACAGGAAGAAAGTTTCCAGGTGCTGGCTGTGTGCACTCGAGGTGGAGAGCCATCTTCTGAGTTCTCCAGGTCCTCAGAACAGAGCTGCTGGGAAGCGGGACAGCACAGGCAGCATTGTGGCTGTCAACCTTCTTCCAGCAAACACACACTGCCATCAGTAACAGTAGCTCTCAGTGGGGAAACAGGCCTGGTATTTCAGACTTTCTGCAGTAGAGAGGCAGGTGTCCTCTGAAACGGCCCTGGACTGATGGTGATAAGGCTGTGGGAGGATCAATCAGGAGCAGCAGGGCTGTTGGTAGAATCCCTGTAGATCACCGGCAGCTTCCTGGCTGCTTCCCTTCCCCATGATTGAAGCAGCCAAGGCCAGAGCTCCTGGTGAGTGACTAGCAGGAGAGGGCCCAAACCCTGGATCTCAGCCCCACCCTTAGCCTGGCTGAGCAACAGGCACTGGGGAAACTACTCTCTTTTGCCCCCCACCCCCAGCCACACTCTCTGGTTCCAGGTCCATTACCCTGGCACTATCTCTTATCATAAGGATAAGAGACCAAATTCAGGTTTACATGTTGGAGATGAGGGGAAAAAAAACCCAAAAAACAAAAAAACTAACAGTGCAGGAACTATGGCCTTATGGCCTATTTTGAATGAAAGCCAATGGGCCTGACTAGCTTGAAGGAAGGGGATCCCTAGATGGCTTCCTTGTTTACCAGGGTCCTGTGCATTGGGGTTTGGGAATAGCAAAATGCTACACTGCTTCCTCTCTGCCACTGGTTCCTGGACATTCATTTCCCTCCACGACCTTACGGGTGGGAGAGGCTCTGGACTGGGGCACAGTGTAGAGATTCCTGGATTACCTGGTCTAGCCGTTCATTCACTTCCTCATTTCTGACATCTGGCCAAATCTTAGACGAACTGCTTTGCAGGACACTGTCCTTCCTTAACCTTTTGAAAGGGAGCAAAAGCAGCAGAACCTACAGAGGAGTAGGGCCTTGGTTTGGACAACTGGTGGACAAGATGATTGATAAAAACCATTTGCAAAGACAAGTAACTTGTGGTGTGAAATTGGTTGTTTCTAATGTTCTGCTTATATTTCTAAGTGAATTAGAATCAAATTGTGTTAAAGAACGGGGTCATATTTCAAACATTCATTTTGAATGAAAGAGCAATGATAGTTTAATCTTTACAGTATATTTAAAGCAAAGACTATATAGAAATATACTTGAAATCACCGGGCGTGGTAGTTCACGCCTATAATCCCAGCACTTTGGGAGGCCAAGGCGGGCAGATCACCCGAGGTCAGGAGTTCGACACCAGCCTGGCCGACATGGAGAAACCCGGTCTCTACTAAAAATACAAAAAAATTTGCCGGGTGTGGTTGCGCATGCCAGTAATCCCAGCTACTCAGGAAGCTGAGGCAAGAGAATTGCTTGAACCCGGGAAGTGGAGGTCGCAGTGAGCCAAGATCGTGCCACTGCACTCCAGCCTGGGCAACAATAGTGAAACTCCGTCAAGACAGACAAACAAGAAAGACAGACAAGACGGGCAGATGGACGGAAGGAAGGAAGGAAGGAAGGAAGGAAGGAAGGAAGGAAGGAAGGAAGGAAGGAAGGAAGGAAGGAAGGAAGGGAGGGAGGGAGGGAGGGAGGGAGGGAGGGAGGGGACAGAAAGTAACTTGAAATATCTCACCTGTCTTGTCATTTGCCAAACACAATCAATAAACTGCAGAAATATAGGAGATCGGTCAGCATCAGCGTGGTTGTCATTACCATGGCCCACTCGCTGAAAAGAAACAGAAGGTTAAACATTTTAACATATGTTACGGTACTCTTGAAAGTCACTATAAGTTGTCCAGTGGTAAGAATCATGTTTCATCTGGCCTAAGAGAATTCCTGGCACATAACAGGCACTCAAAAATGTCTATCAAATTGGCATGACTTCCATTACTTTTAGAAAACAAAATTTCAGTTTACAGTATTTTTACATGTTGATCATTTTATAATTTCTCTTTAATATAGTTGACATCAAGAAAGTGTAAGCAACTAGCTAGCAACTTGTCAGTGAAAATGGGGTCCAGATCAGCCACCACACCAAGTGTACAGTGTCAACGTAGGATGCCAATTAGCACTTCATAAAGCACATGATGAATGCCATTTTCTCTACAAGTATAAAAACATTTTTTTCCATTTTTCAGAATTGTCAGGAAGTCTGAGAATCAAAATAATGATTAACAATCTACAACTTTTTTACCAATTCTACATGACTAAGAGAACCCCAAAATCTCAATCTTGAAATGGTAAATGGGGTAGGGTCCTTGCTTAAGGCAGTCTAGTACTGTATTTCATATCTTTTGATATTTTATAAGACATCAATAGATTTATACCAAAAGGTAAAAGATACTATTCTCAAATATAAAAGGATTGCCAAAACACTGAAAATGCCACAAGTGAAAAAGATAGCTGAAGAGTGAGGATTCTAAGAGAAGCTTCAAAGAATTTGACTATAAGCAAAAGAATGTAGGGGAAGAAGGCATTAAGAAAATACAAAGCAATCACACAGCAAGAGCAAAAAAGCTCTATGAAATTGCCACCAAGAAGGACACAAAAACAAAGAAATGACCAAATCAACATTAACACCTCAGTGTGTTGCCTTCTTTTAAAAAACAATTTGTGGTGAAATACAGATGATATGTAATTTATCATTTGAACCATTATTTTTATTTAGAGACAGTGACTCACTCTGTCACCCAGGCTGGAGTGCAGTGACATGAGCATAGCCTGCTGCAGCCTCTAATTCCTCGGCTCAAGTGATTCTCCCACCTCAGCCTCCAGAATGGCTGTGACTATGCATGTGAGCCACCACACCCAGCTAATTCTTTAATTTTTTTTGTAGAGATGGGGTCTCATTATATTTCCCAGGCTGGTCTCAAACGATCCTCCTGGCCTGAACTCCTGGCCTCAAGCAATCCTCCCACCTCAGCCTCCCAAAATGCTGGGAATTGCAAGCATGAGCCACTGCATCCAGTCTCATCTTAACCATTTATAAGTGTATGGTGCAGTGGCATCAAGCACACTCATACTATGCAACCATCACCATTTCTAGAACTTGTTAATCTTTCCAAACAGAAAGTCTATATGCATTCATCACTAACTCCCCATTTTCCACCTCCCAGCCCCTGGCAATGACCATTCTACTTTTTGTCTTTGTGAATTTGATTATTGTAGGTTCTTCATATAAGTGGAAACAGAAATGTTTGTGCTTTTGTGACTGGCTTATTTTGCTGAGCATGTTTTCAAGGTTCATCCATGTTGTAGCACATGTCAGAATTTCCTTTTTTAAGACTAACATTGCACTGTATAATCATGTGACACATAGTGACATTTCAGTCAATGACGATTACATATCCAATGATGGTCCCATAAGGTTATCATGCCATATTTTTACTGTACCTTTTCTACATTTAGATACACAAATACTTACCATGGCATTACAGTTGCCTACGGTATTCAGTACAGTCACATGCCATACAGGTTTGCAGCCTAGGAGTAACAGGCTATACCATATAGCCTAGATGTTAGCAGGCTATCCATCCAGGTTTCTGTAAGTACACTCTTATGATATTCACACAATGATGAAATCACCTAATGTTGCATTTCTCAGAATGTATGCTCATCATCACACACTGCATGACTGTATATACAGACTACATTTGGCTTATCCATTCATCTGCTGATGGACACTGGGGTTGCTTCCACCTTTGGGCTATTGTGAATAAAGCTACTATAGATACCGACGTGCAAATATCTGTTTGGGCCCCTGCTTTCTCTTTTTTGGGGTATATACCCACCAGAAGAATTGTCAGATCATGGGGTAGTTCCACGTTTAATTTTTTTGGGCTCCACCATACTGTTCTCCATAGTGGCTGCATGCATTGCCCCGCTATAACACCACTTGTAGGACCTGCTGTTCAGTATTTAAGGCACCCAGGGAAGTGTTTTACACTGGCAGTTCACAATTTAGGGTTCATTCTTCTACCAGATAGCCATGGAACTCCTATGGCATGTGCAAGGCATCGTGCCTGACCCTCAGAATGTCAGACGTTGTCACGGTGTCTGGTAAAGGCCAGGTCCTTGGCTAGGTACCTAAAAGACCAAAGCAAATGAGCCACTGTACTTGTGCACGATGAATAATTCATTTGCGGTGTAGTTAAGAGACAAAGAAAGTGTTCCAAGGGCGTCCAAGTATGCGTTGGGTATGGTGGGAGCACAAGGGAATGAGAGAACCATTCTAGGATGGGGTAGGGGAAGGAACAGGGAGGGACGGTCATGCAAGTCACAGTAATGAAGGACATTTCATTTGAGATAAACCCTGAAGAACAGAGAGATGTCTGCTTTCTGGGTAGCCAGGAATTGCTAACCAGTGGGAATGTGGTGGGGGACACTAAGGAAGCCAGAAGTAGCTGGGCGTAGCTGAGGCTTAGATGGGGCAAGGGAAGAAGATGAGAGGTGAGGCTGGAGATGTAGCTAGGGCCAGACCACCAAGGGCTTTGAGTGCACACTGAGGAGTTTGCTCATAATCCTGTGTGCTATAGGAAGGCACTGAGGGACTCACACTGGGGAGTGCTAGCATCCGATCTGTTTTTTGGAATGCTCCATCTGGCTCCAGTGGGGATGATGGATTAGACAGAGCTAGGTTGCACAGAGGCTACTGCTATTGTTGGGATGTTTGTCCTCCCAAACCTCATGTTGAAATTTCATCCCCAGTGTTGGAGGTGGAGCCTAATGGGAGGTGTTGGGTCATGGGGGTGGATCCCTCATAAATAAATTAAGCCCTCCTTGGGTGTGGGGGTGTGTGAATTCTCTATTAGTTCCCAAGAGAGCTGGGAACAGCTCTCTTTGTAACAGCTCTTTGTTACAAAGAGCCTGGCACCCTCCCCCTCTCTCTTGCTTCATCTCTCACCATGTGATCTCTACACACTGGCTCCCCTTTACCTTCCACCATGAATAGAAGCAGACTGAGGCCCTCACCAGAGGCAGATACTGGCACCATGCTTCTTGTGCAGCCTGCAGAACCGTGAGCCAATTAAATCTCTTTTCTTTAAAATTACCCAGCCTCAAGTATTCCTTTGTAACAACACAAACAGACTAAGACAGCTACTTAGGAGACTGCCTGAGGGAGTTGACATGGCCTGAATTATGAGAGCATCAGCGGCAATGGAGATGAGATGAAAGATTGGCTATACATGTATTCAAAGTTGTGGGGCTGGGTGAGATCACTAACAGATTAACCACAAAGAGAAGAAAAATGATCCAAGGACTCATCCCTGGGACACCCCAACATTAAGAGGTCAGGGAGATGAGGGAAGACCTGAAAGTTGGAGGAAATCCGAAAGGTTGTAGAAACCTGGAAGCCGAATGAAGACAGTGTTTGGAAAAAAGGAAGAATCAGCAGCATCGAATAGTCAGGCCGGATTAAACAAGCGACGGCTGCAACAAGAAGGAAGCCTGACTGAAGTGCTTTCAAGACAGTCTGGAAGGAGAGAAATGGTGATAGTGAGTACAGACAACAGTTTTGAGGGGACTGTTGTAAAAAAGAGCAGAGGATCAGGGTGACAGCTGAGGAGAGTTGTGAGGTCAAGAAGGTTATTTTAGGATACAACAGAATGTCTCTACACCAATGGGAATGATCTAGGGAAGAGGGGGAATGGAGGCAGGATAGAGGGAAGAACAATTAGAAAGTTCCATGATGGAGGCAAGCAGGCAAGGGTAGGACCAGCCTCAGCTGGAAGCTCTGACACAGATCCCCAGGTAAGGCAGAGTATACACATGCAGAGGGCGGGTGGTTGCAGGCTTGAAATCACTGTTTAAATGCTGGCTCCACCCTGACTATAACCCACACTTTTGAAACCTCAGTTTCCACATCTGTCAATCATAGTACTGTCATCAGGATTGAACAAGATGATGCATGTAACCGTGCCAAACACATACTGGAGACAGGAGATTGAGGCCACTAGGAATATGATAGTCCTATTGCCTTCCCTGTGTCCATGGCACAGTGGGCTCCAGCATTAGCAAGCAGCGATGGGAGCGGAAGGCTGTGGGCACACCCTGATGCATGCACTCTGCTCAGTCCTGGTGCATGCTGCCATCACTGGCATCTCGCTAGACAGCCTTCACCACTGCCCCTGGGCAGAGCACTCGTTCCAGTTTTCTCTCCTCTAGGACATACAGTTTGGGGAGGAAGGTAGAAGGCAGTGGCCTCTGAGTCTTCAGAAATGGCCCAGTACAAACATCTGGGAAGATTCCACACACTCTCTCTTCCTTACCAAGACCAGCCTTTGCTGAGGGGGGAAGAAACAAAGGGGTTGGTGATGTCGTTTAAAATTTCCCTGGCACTTAGCATGGGCCGAGCACTGCCCTAAACACTTGACACATAAACTCATTTCTCCCATACAACACCCATTTCAGAGAGGAGGGAATCAAGTAAAGAGAAGGGAAAGAACGTGCCCAAGGATCTGCCAGTAGCTCCCAAAGGGCATGCAGCTCAGGGACTGCGGACTTGCCGCTTCTCTCTGGGAGGTCCTCTTTCAGGTGCTCTACCCCAGGAATACAGGGACAGCTGGTAGCTTGGCACACTCACACCAAAGCCCAAAGAAATCCTTGCACTACCCATCCTCCTGCTTTCCATAGCAAGTCTAATGGGGACTTGAGGAGTATTCCCTTTCAATGCACAGTTCACACAGATCCCTAACAGCTCAATGGCCTGGACAGACCAGGAGTAGCTGCCAGTTACACTAAAACACAAATGGCCACCGCATGACCTAACAACTCCATTCCTAGGTATACAACCCCCTAGGTTAAAAGCAAGTTGTTATAAGCTGAATTGTGATCCCCAAACTTGAAGCCTGAATATTCAGTAGCTAAGGAATGTGTCTATATTTGGATATATGGCCTTTAAAGAGGTGATTACATTCAAATGAGGGCATGAAAGTGGACCCTAACCCAATCTCACTGGTATCCTTACGAGATGAGGACATTTGGACAAACAGACAGCAGGGGTGCCCAGTAGCTCCCAAAGGGAAGAAAGACCTTGTGAAGAGGCAACAAGAGGGCAGCCATATGCAAGGAAAGAAGGGAGACCTTGAGAGAAATCAATCCTGCTGGCACCTTGATTTTGGACTTCCAGCCTCCAGAACTATGAGAAGATTACTTTCTGTTGTTTCATCCATGCAGTCTGTGGTACCTTGTTATGGCAAAAACTTATATGCCAACATTCACAGCAGTATTCTTCACAATAGCAAATGCGGAAACAACCCGAGCATCTACCAACAGATGAACAGATGAACAAAATGTGGTGTATACACACACAAGGGAATACTATTCAGCTATAAAAAAGAATGAAAATTTGATATTTGTTACAACACAGATGACCCTTGAAAATATTATGCTTAGTGAAATAACTCAGTCATGGGAGGACAAATACTGTATGATTCCACTTATATGAAGTACCTAGAAAAGGCAAATTTATACAGAGACAGAAAGATCAGTAGTTGTCAGGGGCTGGGGGAAGTGAGGAATGACTGCTTAACGTGTACAGCATTTCCTTTTGGTATGAAGAGTATGTTTTGTTGTTTCTTTTTGGTTTTTGGTTTTTTTTTTTTTTGAGACGGAGTTTTGCTCTGTTTCCCGGGCTAAAGCGCAGTGGCATGATCTCAGCTCACTGCAACCTCCGCCTCCTGGGTTCAAGGAATTATCCTGCCTCAGTCTCCTGAGTAGCTGGGATTATAGGCACCTGCCACCATGCCCAGCTAATTTTTTTATCTTTAGTAGAGACAGGGTTTCACCATGTTTGCCAGGCTGGTCTCCAACTCCCAACCTCAGGCAATCCATCTGCCTCGGCCTCCCAAAGTGCTGGGATTATAGGCGTGAGCCACCACACCTGGCTGGAGTATGTTTTGAAACTAGAGGTGATAGTTATATAACACTGTGAATGTACTGAAGGACAATAAATTGAGCATTTTAAAATGGTTAATTCTATGTTATATGAATTTTACTTCAATTTTTTAAAAAGGCATAAGTACAATTAAATAAGAACACTGTACTAGGAACATACAATGCCTGAGGTCCATGATTTTTATTATGGCAATTCAGGTCTGATACGATACAGAAGAGAAAGCCTGCACTTATGTTTGTCTGTGCTTATGTGTGTCACATGACGTTCACATCCATATGACAGAGCAAAACAGTCTAGTATAAACCTCACGGTTTCAACTTACCAGTGCAAACCTGTGTCCAAAGCTTATCCACTCCTTTTCTATGAGAATTTCAAATCCTTTAATGGTCCTGTAGTAACTGTCCAACATTAGCATAGCCAGAGATGTGAGCTGGGCTGTTCGGTCCCACCCATCGCTGCAATGCACCACCACAGATGTCTTCCCAGATTCTATTTTATCAGCAATTCTCACTGCCCCAGCAAGCAGCATCTTCAGAAAAAAAAAAAGGCACATTAGACCAGGCTACACTGAATTTCAATTACAACGTAAAATAATTCTGGGGAGAACTTTAGAAGTTCTAGTCAATAAACCAAACAAGAATGGCATGCAATCAGCTGAGAATCACTAGGAGATATTAACACCACGTTAAAAAAAAAAAAGAAAGAAAACACCTTATGCTAGAGAAAAGCTACAGGAGTAAATATGGTTTCTTTATTAAAGGGCCACAAAGTTCTTTAAAAGCCTGACCTAAGGCAAGCATTTTCCCCTTTTCACTATGTCACGAAAGCCCTCCACAAAGACCCCAGTCTAATGCTGCCCATGGAAACTATTTAATAAGAAAGCTCATGCACACAGCCAAGAGGCACTTGTTTGTAATGCTGAAAAACCCCTCGGAAATATATGTATTTATGGCACAGGAACAGAGAAGACTTCACTGGAAAGCATATAAAGTACTGGATCCCTTTACCCTTATATATTCCAGCCAATGCGTCCCATCCACATTGGAGAGCCACCGTGCCTCATCAATCGAAGGGTACACAATCTCTTTTAATTTGCGTAGTGACTCTCGCATCACATGAATGTTGTGGATCTCTAAGAACACGAGTTCTGCATTTGGGTAAACACTTTCACTTTCATATCCTCCACCTTTTGTCTGTGAAAAACAAGAGAAACATCACATCATCTGGAATTTACATTTCTATTTTTTTCATTGTACTTTAGATTCTGGGGTACATATGCACATCATGCAAGACTGTCGCATAGGTACATTCACGATAAGGTGGTTTGCTGCCTCCATCCCCCCATCACCTATACCTGACATTTCTCCCCTCATTATCCTTCCCCACCTACCCTCCCACTGCCCCTCGCCTAGCCCCCTACAATGGACCCTAGTGTGTGATGCTCCCCTCTCTGTGTCCATGTGTTCTCATTGTTCAACACCACCTATGAGTGAGAATATGCAATGTTTGATTTTCTGTTCTTGGGTCAGTCTGCTAAGAATGATGTTTCCAGCTTCATCCATGCCCCTACAAAGGACATGAACTCATCTTTTTTATGGCTGCATAGTATTCCATGCTGTATATGTGCTGCATTTTCTTTATCTGGTCTATCATTGATGGGCATTTGGGTTGGTTCCAGTGCTGGCAGAGTTGGTTCCTTTAGGAAGTTACAGGGAAGAATCTGTTCCATGTCACTCTCTCTTAGCTTCTGGTGGCTGCTGGAAGTCCTTGGCATTCCTCAGTTTCTAGCTACATCATTCAACTCTCTGCCTCTATTACCACATCACCATCTTCCTTCTGTGTGTGCCTGTGTCTCTACATGGCTTTCTTATAAGGACACAAGGCACTGGATTTAGGCCTACCCTACGCCAAGATGACCTCATCATAATTAATACATCTTCAAAGATCCTATTTCTAAATAAGGTAACATTCTGAGGTACCAGTTGGACATAAACTTTTGGGAGACATTTTTCAATCTACTACAGTGGTTCAACATACAAAAATCAACCAATGTAAGAAGAAGATGTGAAAGGCATCCAGATGGGAAAGGAAGAAGTCACATCATCTCAATTTGCAAGTGGCATCATCTTATATATAAACAACCAATGGAGACCTAGAAAATATTCCTAGACACATATACTGCTATAGTTAAAATTATTCCAGATATACAATTTGGTGTCCTGTCCCTATCTCTTATGCATGGGACAAAATACAATGAACTGCCCTCACCCTGTTGACTAGTCTGAAGATGGCCTCCACTGATATGGCTTTTCTTATATTTTGTAATTACTTGGGATATGGTAGTGACAGGAAGGAGGCAGAGATTTAGAAAGACTGACACAGCTAATGATCCACATATGGAGAGCAAGGGGGACTCACTGAGGATGCCACCCTATGGTAGGCTGAAAAGTGGCCCCTGCCAAAAACATCCACATCAAATCCCTGGCAACGGTGAATGTGACCTTATTTGAAAAGAGGGTCTTTGCAGATGTGTTTACAGATTCAGGATTATTTCAGGTGGAGCCTAAACGTCATCACAGTGTCCTTAGAAGAGAAAGGAAGAGACACAGAAACACAGAGCAAGAGAGGGCCATGTGAAGATGGAAGATGAAACTGATATGGCTACAAGCCTAAGAAAGCTGGGGTAGCCACCCCACACTGAAAGAGGCAAGGAACGGATTCACCCTGGAACCCTTAGAGGGAGCAGAATTGGCCTCCAGAATTGCGAGCAATACATTTCTGGTGCTGTAAGCCACCAAGTTGGTGGTAATTTGTGTGGCAGTCTCAGAAAACTAATACTCCTCTCATCTTCCTCCCTGCCCCGTTCCTCTCCCAGTCTTCCCTATCTCAGTAACAGATACCACTATTCACTCTCAAGTTAGACACCTAGGCAGCCCCTTGACCACAGGAGTGGCGAGGGGATGCACTGCCACCCTGCTAAGTCATTTACATGTATTCTTCTCACTGAATTTTAATCCTCACACAAGCCATGACATGAGACACTGGCATTATCTCCTGTTTTACATAAGAGGAACATGAGGCCTAGATAAGTTAAGTAACTGGTTCAGGAGTCTAGAGCACCAAGTGGCAGAACCTGGAGGAAAACCCATGTGTAACTGAATCCAAAGTCGACGGGTCTCACCACCCTGCCATCCTGCCTCTCAGCCAGTTGGAATACACGGAGGGTTTGTGGCCTTGGGTAACAGCCAAGCAGAGATTTCAACCATATAATGGGATAAAAAATCCAGTCTCGGCCGGATACAGTGGCTCATGACTATAATCCCAGCATTTTGGGAGGCTGAGGCAGGCAGATCACAAGGTCAGAAGTTGGAGACTAGCCTGGCCAACATAGTGAAACCCCCATCTCTACTAAAAATACAAAAAAATAGCTGGGCATGGTGGCAGGTACCTGTAATCCCAGCTACTCGGGAGGCTGAGGCAGGAGATTCACTTGAACCTGGGCGGTGGAGGTTGCAGTGAGCCAAGACAGCACCACTGCCCTCCAGCCTGAGTGACAGAGTGAGACTCTGTCTCAAAAAAAAAAATAATTAATTAATTAAATAAAAATAAAAATCCAGTGTCAACCTGCAAAGGGATCAAGACAGGATAGAAACTGCAGTGTCAAGCTCAAGTTGAACTCAGCATGCAGACAGTGTTTAAAGCTGTGCCATCAGAGATGGCCCCAGGAGTCTGTAGAGTAAAGAAGACCCCAGACCAAGTTCAAGGACCAATGTCATTTGAAGACTGGGAAGAGAAACCAGTGAAGGAGACAGAGAAGGCCAGGCTGAAAAGCGAGAGAAACTCAGGGTGTGATATCATGCAAGTAAAGGGAATGGAGGTGTCTGTATCATGTCTCACTGCCACCTGAGGTACACTACACAGGTGCTCCATGAGATTCATGGAGACTTTGCACATTTACAAACTTCACATGGCTGATTCCATTTTAAAGAACTTCAGACCAGACATGAATTAGTCAAGTAACCACTGTATTTCTTACATTAAATGGACTTCCAAAGACCTCACAATCACATCATTAAAATGCTGAATCCTTTAGATGAAAATTATCTTTCTAGGTCTTTGCTAACTGATTTAGCAGACAGGATATTGTACAGAAGCAATGAAACAGACAAGATCCCAACCCATGTGAGACACCAAACACAGCCCATGGAGTATACACCAGGGAGGAATAGCTCTGGACTCCAGATGATTCTAACTTCAGGTGGTGAGGAATTCCACGAGTTATTCTAACTGCATAATGATTTACAGACAGGACATGAAAATATCCAATGTTTTGTCAATGCTATTAAGAATGTACCTTGTTGGTATCAGCGACACTGTTTTGTCGAGCATCAAAGATGATCAGCTTGTGTGACTGTGCATTAGCATCCATTATTGTTTGCAGGTATTTTTCATCCTCTTTGCAGCGCTTATCGTTGGGACCCACAAGTGGCTGGCTGCAACGGGTAATCGTTGCTTGACTTTCCGGATGAATCCATGACAACACCTAGTGTTTTTGAGCAACAAATATTAGTCTAGTTCCTAAAGCAATGTATGCTTTAATTACCTGGTAGAAAAATCAAGTACCCTTCTCAAGCACAGTCTCTTCTACATCTTTTCCTCAAAAGTGAGAGTGGGCAGGTCAATCACAACATTGTAGTGGCCACCAGACTCAACATTTTGGTCAGCATGAAACAATTTTGACTACATGAGCTCTAAAAATCTCCTTCCACCCCAAAAATTCTATCATTCTAAGCAAAACAAATCCTAAATCAAACTATTAATAAAATCCAGCCCCGTTCCAATTTGACTGACTAATTTTATCTTGTCTTCTAATTTAAAAAACATCTTTGTATCTCAACAATAACATACATGGTAGGGTGAGGACAGAGTGAATATACAGGCTCTTATAAAATCTGACACTCTGCCACCACACCTCTCATTTTCCTCCAGTGGCCAAGTGACTCAGGATTATACCAGATGCAAACTCTGGTCTCAAACCATTACTCCCTGCTGGCTGCTACTACTTCTGTAATGATGGCCCACCCACACAGCTATGGCATCATGCTCAGTATTTAAGAAAGAAGCATCTTCTCTAGGATGATTCTGTGAAACCAGCAATGCCATCCGGTAATACAATGGCATGCTAACTTGTTCTTGCTACTCCTTTGTTATTCTCTACTACTTTTTGAGAGTATGACTCAAGTTACCCTTGTACTTAGTAACAGGAAATTGTACAAGGGGTAATCACAGCAAACAGACTGCTTACATAATTAGGTATCTGTTGAGAATGAAAGGTATGTTCAGGTTTATAAGCTTATTTTTCTACTTTCCATTTTTGTTCACTAGATTCTTTTTTGCCTTCAATCTTTCCATATTAGATCTAATGCAATATATATTCCTCTATAAATGATCGTGTTTATTACTTACAGGAACTCTGCCTTTTGCTCGAAAAGCTGCCACTTTTGAAAGGTCATCATCTTTTACACTAGTTGGCACAACAATGACAGCAGGGTAGGTATCACAGAACTCATAATTATTGTTTATCTTGGATATTTTCCAACTCTCATTTGGCAAGCCCTGTAAGGTGTTGGAGGAGGAGGAAGGGGGGAAATGCATGACTGTATACTTTGAAAAAGTACTAAGCATGAACCACATCCATTTGTTATTTGCAACTAAAATCCACTTATAATTTATTGTTCATTGTAACTTAAAAGTCTATATATATATATATTTGGTAAACCCATTTCCTTGACATTCTAAAAATCTAAAGAAGCATAAGAATATCCAAACCATGCTACAACATGAAAATTATACACTAGAATCACATTTCTATATATTTCTTGTCCTATTTTCTATAAATAATGAGCTCAAGAGTTATTTTTGAAAATACACCCAAAAGTCCTTTAGAAACACAGATACTTCTTACAAACATCTAAAATAAATAATGTAAAACATTATACCAAACATAAGGTAGAGACTATATCATGAAACGACTGTCATGAAAATAAGATCTTAGTAGAATAATTTGAAGCTGATAACGCACTGATGAGTTCCCAGACCTGGGAACACCAGATTAGACAGGTACAGTCACAGCACATGCTTCGAATCTAACTGCAATCAGTGCTTTGGATCCTTACTCATCAATTCTTTACCAGAACATCTAATAAAAACAATCTGGCAGATTTGGTTTTTAAACCCGTCCTTGTCCTTGAGTCCCACTCGCCGTCTGGAAAAAGGTCAAACAATGCCGAAGTCTAAGGTTTGGCACAGGGAAAAGAGAGCATCAAGGAGAGGTAGAGAGCCTGTAAGCTAGCAGTTATATCTACATATAACTTGTTTGAAAAAGTTTCTTCTCTACCACATCTTTTCTAACATTTTAGAAGAGAAAAAGATGCTCAAACTATTATTTTCAGTTTGCTAAGCAATATACTTTACCTGTCTCTTATATTCAGATACTGGATCATAAACTTTCCAGCCATTAATTGAAAATTTTTCTTTATAGCTGAATGCAAATAGTGCCTGGATATGAAAACCACAAAACACATGTTACTATTTCTTGTTCATTCTAGTACGAGCTGAATGTATTAAGAGTCCTATTGTAATCTGCAAATTTTAAAACAACAAAGTAGCAGCTTTTCTTAAGCATTACCCAGAACTGACAAATTTCAAATTTATTCTAATATTAGTCACCAACAGAGGAAAAAAGAGAGGAAAAATAACCTCTGGGAAAAGGAATAATTAAACATAAGATATTTGGACCCCCACAATTGCATGCAGAAAAGGTTTACTTGGGTGTATTTACCTGTCCATTAGAAAGAGGAAATGCATGTTTATTGAGGTTTTCAAATATCCCTAGTTTACTCTGTTCTTCCTGCTTATAAGCAAGCCGCAAATTCCTCATATCCTGTTAAACAATTAGCAAAACTCAGTTATTCAACATATATCAAGCATCTATAAGCCAGATACTGTGCCATAAATAAGGAAATACATTTTTTATTCATTTCTCATTTTATACTTTATCTTGTTCCAACTAAGAAAAGGCAATTTAACAAAAATACCTTCAATGAGATTTTAGAAAATTAAGTGAGGGAATTGGAACAAAGGGGATATATGCGGTCAAAATTCATCAGATGGAATCAAGAATAAGATTCATACACAAGTCCTATGCACTTTCTTGCTAAACTTGTGACACAAAATTAGTTACACTCTTTAAGCTGCTGAAAGAATCAGTTAAGAATTCATGCCAGCCATAAAAAAGAAATGCAGCAGACATTCCACCCCTGCATAGGCACAGAAGGGACTCTCTATCGCATACAGACTGTAGCCCTCAGTAACACCCTTACAGCAATACGATACTGTTTCTCCACACCACAGTTTCTTAAAATGCCCCATGATGCAAGCTGATAGCCAAAGGCCAAAGCACAGGTCAGCAGGAATAATCCCACCAAGGCCAGCTCTGATGGTGGGAACTCTTCCCAGGATGTTTTGGGCAGTGTCCTTGACCTTTCAAAATCTATGCTCCTGTTAGTTAAACACAAAAATCTCACTATTCTTTAACATTAGATGACATTTGAAAGTAAGTATGACCACAAACAAATTAAATAGCAATTAAAATGAAGTTATTCTTGTGGTATTATTTGTAACAGAAAAAGAATGGAAATAACCTAAATGTCCATCAATAGGCAGCATTTATAATTAAATAAACTGCAGTACAGCTGATGAAACACTCAAGAGCTGTTAAAACAAGCAGCAGCTCTGCATGTACTGACATAACAGAGTGCCGAGACATATTGTCAAGGGAAAAAAGAAAAGGAGCAGAACAGTGTATATAATATACTACCATTCACGTCTTCTTTCTTTCGGTTTTTTTTTTTTTTTGAGATGGAGTTTCATTCTTATTACCCAGGGTGGAGTGCCATGGCACAGTCTCAGCTCACTGCAATCTCTGTCTCCCAGGTTCAAGCAATTCTCCTGCCTCAGCCTCTCAAGTAGCTGGGATTACAGGCACCTGCCACCATACCCAGCTAATTTTTGCATTTTCAGTAGAGACAGGGCTTTACCATGTTGGCCAGGATGGTCTCAAATTCCTGACCTCAGGTGACTCACCTTCCTGGGCCTCCCAAAGTGCTGGGATTACAGGCTTGAGCCACGGCACCTGGCCCCACTTACCTTTTCAAAGGACTATACATACATTCTCATGTGCATAGGCTGTCTGTGGAGAGTTACATTAAAAATCAGTAACAATGGGTGCCTGTAATGACTGAAACAGGGTGGCAGGTGGAGGAAGACTGATTTTTTTTTTTCCTATATACAGCTTTTGTATTTTTTGAATTGTGTATCACCTGTTTAAAAATAAACCTCACACCTTGTAACGCTCTTAGGCATGATCTGAGAAGGCTGGGAGCATGACCTTAGTAATTCTAGGTTAGAGAACATTTAAAGCAGTTGTTAGCAAGTGCTCACCCCGGCCATAAAAATATCTTAGTAAAAGAGCCCCAGGACGCCGGTCTAAGCAACGTAATTTCCTGACATGCCTTCCCTCTAAGCTCCACTGGCTACAAACATACACCTTGGTGGCTGACTGAGCTGACTTGCTATTTAAGATTGCCCAAACAGAAAGCATTACAAGCTAAGGAAAGAGCACGTGCAAAGATTCTGGTGTGTGTGTATGAGGCAAGTATGAACCACCGAAGGAAAGCCCCATGTGACTGGGATGGCCAGAATAAGGGGAGGGTGGCTTGAATCAAAGCTGCAGAGGAAAATGAGTCAGGCAGAGAGGTACTGTAAGGCAAGTTTTTCCTTTAGCCTAAGGATAGTGGGAAGATACTCAAGAGTCATGAGAAAGGGGACAATATGTTTCAAAATTGCAGAACTGATCAAGTCACCCCTCTGCTTGCCATTGTTCCATATGGGATTCCTGCCTGAGAAGGACAGTTGCCAGGTAGTGCTTACAGTGAGTTTAGAAAGCCAGCAGATTCATGATCTGGAAGAGTAAAGGGTTCTTTGGGGAAAAAAATGGATTTGAGCACAGTTTAGGACCAATCAGAGGGAGCCATCCTCAGAGACTGAATTAAAACAAATAGATTGTAAGGAATCCTAACCGAAAATTTGGAAGGGGCCTTGACAATCCTGCAGGCAGGATCTCTTTCCTGGTACTTCAGGCAGGGTTTTTGGTAAACTACATTACCAAAGTCAAGTCACTGGGAATAAAATACATCAGTTAAGAGTGTGTCCTATATGACTTCATGATTGAAGTTATCACACACATTTCTACTTAAATAATTAGAGTAAGGGTACAAAATAAACAGATAAGCCCAGCTCAACATAAAAATTCCACCATAGCCAAGAAATTTAATCTCATTTTTAATCACAGAATTTAGGGACCACTGTCATCCCTTTAAGAAGTCTTTGACCATCTGCACTAAGTAGTCTTAAAACAACAAACTGGGAAATGTACTGATCTCTGCTTTTCACTTGATTTCTCTGAGATGTGACAAATAATGTCAGCACTTAGGTTATAGGTCCATGTTAATTAGAAATACAGTCGGTCCTTCCTATCCATGGGTTCCACATTGGAGGATTCGAACAACTGCAGATAGAAAGTATTTTTTAAAAGGATGGTTGCATTTTTGTGCTGAACATGTACAGACATTTTTTCTGTCACAATTCCGATTCCCTAAACAATACAGTATGACAACTATTTACATAGTGTTTACACTGTTAGTTATTATAAGCAATATGCAGATGATTTAAAGCATATGGGAGAATGTTCCTAGGTTATATGCAAATACGGAATATATCATTTTATGTAAGGGACTTGGACATTGTGGATTTTGGTATCTGAGGGAGAGGTCCTGGAATCAATCCCCCACCGATACCAAGGGACAACTGTACTTCAATAGAAAAGGTTTACTTCAAAGGGTTACACAATAGTTTAAATTCGATGTCATGAGATCTGAAGAGGTCACTGTCCCAAAAACATTTGAGTTACTAGCAGTAGAAATTATTCTACCGTCCAAAGATCATGAAGACTGAGGGAGAAAAAGTTCCGAGCTGACTGCCCCCTTTTAGTTTTCACCTGTGTTGGTATTATACCTTGCACACTATCTCTATACCACAGGAATTGTCTCCATGGCTCTGTGCTCCAATCTTCTCGACTCTGCTGATCACTCCAAGGGGGACATCAAGGATAAAATGCGGGTCCTAGGTTGAAATATTAAGATTAACACCTATTAGTGTTAGTCTACAGTTTTCGTATTTTAAGTCTTTGCTTGGTTACAATATATTTGTTTATTTCTCATTCCCTCTTTGTCCCAGCTAAACTTAAGTCTGATTGATAGCATTCCTTATGAAATAGACATTGAGACAACAATGGAATTTCCCCTCCAGGTTTAAAAGGTACTTTAACAGCCTTTTTTTCAATATACAGACATCTGTTTGTAAAAGTGTACATCTCAAAACCCACCTGTGGTTATCTCAGGGTAATGGGATTTCAGGGGACTTTTTACTTTCTTCTTTTAGCATTTCAAAGTGTTTCTTTTAAAATAAAACAGTTTTAAAAACTCACCCTCTCTACATTTTTGAAGTACAGCTTAAAGTCCGTCACTGTCAGGGTTCCACTCACTGCTCCCATAAATGGGCAGATATACATGACATCTTTCACTGAAAGAAAAAGGCCAAAGTAGCAACTACAGCCATAGACTTCTGCTTCTATAAATCTTAACATGAGTTTTCAAAATATATGTTTGTGATTCCAGTTTTCTAGGATTTTTATATTTTATAGAATTAGATCAATTAAGACTTTCAAAACAGAGAGATGCATAGTCTTCTAATAAATTTGAATTTTTTAAAACAAAATTCTGATTTGCTACTTAATGGGGTTTTAAGTAAAGGGCCTCATAATAAGCTACATTCTGCCATTTTTTTTCTATGTAGTTAAGATTTTCCCTGGGTGATAAATTAATCATATTCAAAATATGAATTAAATTCTGAAACCCTGGGCTACTGTTACATGAATCACTGTTACTTGAAACTAATGAAAGCTAAACACTGTCTCCTAACACACCTCCAAAGGAAACTTTTTACAGAAAACAAAAACTAGAACCATGTCAATGAAGCAGAAAAAGACTTGTTTCAAATTCCTTATCAGCTTTCTCATCAGTTTTAATTTTTTGTTAATATCTATTAAGCACATAACATATTTAATTCCTGTTAGTGTTAAGAAGCTCACACCTATCACAAAGATACATCTTCATGTTCTCCCAAAGTGCCATTCCACTGGAATGACAAGAATAGACATAACTATACATGACTCCAAGTGAGACAACACAAGGCATTAACGTCGTTGAACCAAATTCTCAAAATATTTCAATTTAACTTTTCTATAACTTCTTATGTACTGAGAGCCTTCTATTGCTGGGATTCTGGGTATAATTGGAAACAGTTCCTGTCCAGGAGCAACCCACCACCTGTGAGAGATACCACACAGAAAAATCGCCATTATACTACATCAGAGGTCCCCAACCTTTTTGGCACCAGGGACTGGTTTCATGGAAGACAACTTTTCCATGGACCAGGGCAGAGGTAGGGGGATGGTTTCAGGATGAAACTGTTTCACCTCCGATTATCAGGCATTAGATCCTCATAAGCAGCATACAACCTAGATTCCTCACGTGTGCAATTCACAATAGGGTTAGCACTCCAATGACAATCTAATGCCACTACTGATCGACAGGAGATGGAACCCAGGTGGTAATGCTTGCTAGCCTGCTGCTCACCTCCTACTGTGTAGCCCCATTCCTAACAGGCCATGGACCAGTGCTGATCCAGCCCATGGGTTCGGGACCCCTGTACTAGAGGCTGACAAAAGCTAAAATGATAATGTGGACACAAAGTATTATAATAAAAGCTCAGAAAAGGATCACCTTAACTCAGTAGGAAAGTAGGTAGGGGGAGTAAGAGAAGTAAGAGAGGAAGGGCACAGTGGTAAGTTGTTAGAGGTTAGTATGCCTAGATCAATGGGTGCAGTGAGGACAATGGAACATGAGGCCAGAGAAGTTGGCAGGGAACAGACCGGCAAGTCCTTCTGTAGGATACTAAGGCATTATTATCATTATCCTTAAAAGATAACTGTTTAAACAAAAACAAAAACTATATATTGTGGGGTTTGTAACATATGTAAAAGTAAAATGGATGACTGAGGGAATCTGTGGGGATCGCTCCCGTGTGAGGCCCCTGGGAAATGGGCCTCACCATACGGTGAGCTTAAGCCCAGACACAGATCCCCAGTTGGGGGAGTCGAGCTGAGGGAAAGCAGGAACCAAGAGAGGGACTATGTTATTCTAAATAATTAACAGACATTACTTTATGGATATGAGGACTTGGGAGGCAATGTGTCCACTTTCGGCTCCTTATGGTTTATTGCTTGATTGTGTTCATTTTGGACCCTTGTTACCTTCATTGTAAAATATTAACTTAAGTATTTACACTTGGTAACTTACTTATCGTAACTTACTGGGCGTGACTGTAACTTACTTACCTTGACCTATTGGGCGTAACCTACTTACTGGAAGTAACCTACTTACTGGGTGTAACCTACTTACTGGACTTAACTCACTTACTGGGCGTAACTTAGTGGGCGTAACTTGCTTACTGTAACTTAAGTACGTTGATCTGGCATAAACAACTTTGACTTCAGAAAAGTATATAATGAAACGTATTGCAAAAATAAAATTGCTGCTTGGACATAGCCTAAGCTAGCCCTCCAGACTCCGCTTTCCTTTATTCTTTCACTTCCGCGCACTCTCTCCCTCAGGTTGAACGAGACATCTACGTTGGCGGTCTCGGGGACTCCTGCAGGTCGGTAGTCCCCCCGCAGATGTGCCGGACCCCAACAGATGACAACAACAGCATAAAGGCTGGAAGGGGACAAATGGGAGTATACCATTGTAAGGTTCTTATCTTGTACATGAAGCAGCATGCATTCACTTGAAGGTAGACATAATGATGTAAAATAACTAGTTACATAACAAAATAAACTAGCTAATATGCAAGCAGAGGAGATGAAATGGAATTATAAAAAGCAAAAACCGCATAGTCTCGACCCAAAGCTCCTTCAGCTGATAAACAACTTTGATAAAGTTTCAGGATACAAAATCAACGTACAAAAATTGTTAGCATTCTTATACAACAACAACAGCCAAGCCAAGAGCCAAATTAGAAACACGATAGCCACAAAAAGAATAAAAGACCTAAGAATACAGCTACCTGGGGAGGTGAAAGATCTGTACAATGAGAATTAGAAAATACTGCTCGGAGAAATTAGAGATGACATAAACAAATAGAAACATTCCATGCTCATGGATAGAACAATCAATATCGTGAAAATGGCCATACTCCCAAAGCAATCTATAGATTCAGTGGTATTCCTATCAAACTACCAATGACATTCTTCCCAGAACTAGAAAAAAATTTTAAAAATTAATATGGAACAAAAAGGGCCTGAATAGCCAAGGCAATCCTAAACAAAAAGAACAAAGCTGGAGGCATCATGTTACCACACTTCAAACTATACTACAGGGCTATAGTAACCAAAACAGCATGGTACGGGTACAAAAACAGACACACATAGACAAGTGGAACAGAACAGAGAGCCCAGAAATAAGAGTGCACACGTATAACCCTCTAACCTTCAACAAAGCTGACAAAAACAAGCAATAGGGAAAGAACTTTCTACTCAACAAATGATGCTGGGATAATTGGCTACCTATATGCAGATGACTGAAACTGGACCCCTTTCTTACACCACATACAAAAATCAACTCAAGATGGATTCGAGACTTAAATGTAAAACCCAGATCTATAAAAAAAAAAACCTGGAAGACAACCTAGGCAGTACCATTCTGGAAATAGGAACAGGCAAAGATTTCATGACAAAGATGCCAAAAGGAAAAAAAAGACAAATTGAATCTAATGAAACAAAAGAGCTTCTGCACAGCAAAACAAACTATCAACAAATTAAACAGACAACCTACAGAATGGGAGAAAATATTTGCAAACTATGCATCTGACAAAGGTTTAATATTCAGCATCTATAAGGAACTTAACAAATTTATAAGAAAACAACCCCATTAAAAAGTGGGTGAAGGACATGAATAGACACTTTTCAAAAGACATACATGCAGCCAATAAGCATCTAAAAAAAAAGCTCAGTATCACTGAACATTGGAGAAATGAAAATCAAAATGAGATACCATCTCACACCAGTCAGAATGGCTATCATCAAATTAAAAAGTAAAAAAACAACATGATGAGGTTGCAGAGAAAAGGGAGTGCTTATACACTGTTGGTAGGAGTGTACATTCGTTCAACCACTGTGGAAAGCAATGTGGTGATTCCTCAAAGAGCTAAAAACGGAACTACCATTTGATCCAGCAATCCCATTACTAGGTATATACCCAAAGGAATATAAATTATTCTACCATAAAGACACACACATGCGTTATGTCCACTGCAGCACTATTCATAATAGCAAAAAGTCATGGAATCAACCTAAATGCCCATCAATGGCAGACTGGATGAATAAAATGTGGTACACACACACCATGGAATACTTGCAGCCATGAAAAAGAATGAGATCATGTCCTTTGGAACATGGATGGAGCTGGAGGCCATCATCCTTAGCAAACTAACACAAGAACAGAAAACCAAATACCATATGTTCTCACTTATAAGTGGGAGCTGAGAACACACAGACACGAACAAGGGAACAACAGACAATGGGGCCTACTTGAAGGTGAAGGTGGGAGGAGGGAGAGGATCAGAAAAAATATCTACTGGGTTCTACACCTAGTATCTTGGTAATAAAATAATCTGTACAGGGGAAGGGGAGAAAAAAATAATAAGAAGAAAAAACTAAATAAAAATAAAAAAAATCTGTACAACAAACTACCATGACACAAGTTTACCTATATGTACTGCTGAAACCTAAAATAAAAGTTTAAAACAAAAGTACTCAATTCAACCATAAAAAGAGGAAAAAAAGAACAAAGAATAAATGAGATTAAGAGAAATCAATTATCAAGATAGTAGATTTAAACCTAATTATGTTAATAATTATATAAAATGTAAATGTTCTAAACACCCCAATTAGAAGGCAGAGATTGTCAGTTTGGAGACAAAAGAAAGAACCAACTATATGTGGCCTGAAAGAAACCCACCTTAAATATAAAGACATAAGTAGCTTCAAATTCAAAAGACGAAAATAGGTATATCATGTTAGTAAAATTTTTAAAAAGCTGTAAGGTCTATAATAATATAAGACAAAGTAGATTTCAGAACAAAGAATATTACCAAGAACAAAGAAGGTCATTTCATGATAATAAAGAGGTCAATTCGTCAGAAGGACGTAGGAATCCTAAACATTTATGTATCTAATAACAGCTTCAAAATACATGAAACAAAACTAATAGAACAGCAAGGAGAAAACTGACACATACACAATTACGGTCAGATATTTCAAAACCTCTTCCTCTTACAATTGATAGAGATAGACAGAAAACGGGTAAGAACACAAAAGATTTGAACAACACTATCAACAAAACCTAATTGACATTTGTAGAACAGTCTACTCAACAACAGCAGAAAACACATTCTTTTCAACT